CGAATTCACATGGCAGTCGGGCAAAACCCTTTCTGAATGAAGTGAAATGAAAATCTGGTCAGCAGTCGGACCTCGTAGTTGAGTTGGCAGAGCATCGGACCGGAAACCCAACCGTTGCTGGTTCAAACCTGGCTGCGGTCCAAATTTTCATTTCACTTTCAATTATCACCCAGTATAAATAAGAAAGCTCACAAACTGTTGTGTAGTAAACGTGGTATTTTCAACACTAAGCAAGTAATCACTATGGTAACCATTAGATAGGAATAACCGACAGTTTGTGGTTAGGGCTTAAACATGAAATACAGTTCTATCGGTCGTGTGAACAGTAGTCTTCAGTTTTCGTTCTAGTTCTGGTAATAAATTTCCCACTCAAATACTGCTGAGAAATCTGAAAATAAATCAGAACGCCGCATCATTTGTCTGTCATTTATCTTGGAACCCTATAGATTCCTTTATGAGACACTTTCCGTGTAACTCAGGAAATCTGAGTATTCTGACCTGTTACTTTTAGATTTCTAATTGCTGCAAAATTATCAACTCATGAATCTTAGACAATAAGTCTCTACTTATTATTGATAGTTATTAAGATCCTGAAAGAGAAATTCCAAGCTATTACTAATCACATGCATTAAGGGTATCGTTTGTACTAACGATATTGTATTTCAGGCAAACAAATACTTTTAGGTAGCTCATATCCTCTCGAAATTCATAATACCGCAATAATAACAAGTGAAAGTAACATGTCGTATACAACTTTCGCTTAAAATAACTCCAAGGCAGAATCTTAAATTCGTGTTTTAAGGCATAAAATCTAACGGCTTCTAAATGAAAAATGTTTAGTCGATATTCAGGAGATAAAGACTGACCTAAATCTAACAAGGAAGATCTCCATTTACATTTCATAGGAAGTTTTTTGAAGTGATAACAGTATATCAAACATTATTTCAGTAACAATACTTCTTCATACAGTTACTTTCATCTTGCGGTAAAAAGCCGGTAGCAGAAGTAATAGTGAATCTTAAAAAACATAAATCATGTAAACAGAAATGAAACTGATTAGGCCGCACTTAACAACAAGATAGAAAATCCTAATTAATGGCTAAATAGTTCTGAATATTTAAGGTAAACGTTATCTTGTGAATAATTTTGCCACTCAATATCAAGTTAGTTGAAAAGCAAAATTAATTGTTTGCTTTTTCATAACTTATCCATTGAAAAAACAATGATCCCAGAAAACAAACAATCGTATTGTATTAATAGGTTGTCATTGGATGGTAATCCGCGTTATGACGCCTTATAGCAAATTTCCACTGAATACTATAATTGACGTTAGTAGTCTAGTCGCTACCTTAAATCCTTCCTCAGAGCATATAATGAACATAAGATTTCTGGCTAAAATTCATAGAGGCAATCAAATGCATAGTCAGGTCCCATGAACAGATATTTACCGACAAGATGCCACATAAATCAAAGTGACGAACAACTTGTAGTACCATAGCAACAGAACTTTGAAGGTTGAGTCACAGTGTAGAAAACTGGAAGAGATAGAAAAGCTTAGGCCAGAACACCAAGTAGAGTAAAAATAAATATTGTTTATTGATATTTATTTGACCCTTGGGTTCCTAATGGAATATAGGCCTTCAGTAGCACATCTCCAGTGAACTCTCTTCTCTGCAAACCTTTTGAACCTGGTTCCACGTTACCCCAGAAGCTCTCATTTCTTCCTCGCACGATCTCCTCCATGTCACCCTCGCTACGTACGCCCAACTCGTCACTTCCCATGGGGATTCCACTCGAGCAACTGGCCTAGCGCGTGATGTCCCCCGTCGGCCTTCTCAGTGTATGCCGAATCCAATCCATCTCCACTTCCTTCCAATGCATATTTGTTGAGCGATAGCTTCTTGCTTTGTTGGTTCGTTCCCAAATCTCCTTGTTCCTTATTCTTATTATTCTGGCCATCTGATCTTCAGTAGCGAGCTAGCGTAAGCAGTTGTTGATGAATGTCTGTAGTTTGTTGAAAATCCCCTTCGTAACTCGCTAAGTCTCTGAACCATCATACAGAAGCACTGACTTGACGTTGGTGTTGAAAATCAGGATCCTGTTCACGATTTGTGCTGAGTGCAGAAGATCTCCACACTGGTTTCAGGCTAATGAACGCCTGTCTTGCTTTTCTGATCCTGGCTTTAACGTCCTCATCTGTGCCACCGCCACCTGTAGTTGAAACAGTGCGGCCTAGATAGGCAAATTAGGCTACTACCTTTAAGTTTCTCTCGTTGATGGTGATTGGGGCTTGTTGTTGTTGGTGGTGGTGGTGGCGTTGGTTGGGTATCTTCATCACCTCTGTCTTCTCTGTGTTCACATGAAGTCCAGTCTTCGCTGCCTTGCCTCTTCTGTCAACTTGTTATTTTTTGCCTGTAGAGCTTCAAGTTTGTGTGACATTAGACACAAGTCATCGATGAAATCCAAATCTTCTAGATTCTTTTCCGCAGTCCAGCACATACCCCTCTCCTCGCTTCTCACTATTTGCTGTATGATCCAGTCCACCACAATAAGGAATATCATGGGGGATAGTAGGCAACCTTGTTTCACTCCTGTCTTCACTTCAAAAGCACCACTGAGCTTCCCATTGTGAATAACTTGTCTAACATGTGGCGTCTTCATATAGTTGTTGAATGAGGCTGATTAAGGTTCACGGTATTCCGTAGTGTTGAACCAACTGCCTGCCAAATTACCTCTCGGTCGACGCTGTCAAAGGCCTTCTCAAAGTCGATAAAGTTGAGGTAGAGAGCTGATTGCCATTCTATACTCTGTTCTATGATGATGCATAGCGTAGCTTTGTAATTTGGTCCGCACATGATTTAAACTTCCTGAATCCAGCCAGCCAGCCTGTTCCGGTCGTAGTTTTGAATCCAGCGCATCCTTTAGCCTCTCCAGGATGATGGGGCTTAATATTTTGCTTGGGGTGGACAGGAGAGTGATTCTTCATCAGTTCTTGCGAACACTTAGGTAACCCTTCATCCAATCAGTAGGCAAGTACCTTCCCTTCCTTCCAGACCTTCTGCAATAGTGGTGTGAGCATGTCCCCTGTTGTCTCTGCGCCTGTTCTCAGTGCTTCTGGTGGGATTCCATCTGGTCCTGCTGCCTTCCCGCACTTCAGTGGCCTTATGGCGTCCAGAACTTCCATTTTTGTTGGAGGATTTATGTTTACTTGTAGTTCAGTGGCTGTCGTGATATCTAAATGACGTGAAGATGGCCTTTGTAGTTTCGTCCTTCAGTTTCCGGGTGTTGAACTTGAACTGTGGGAGTCCATCGCCAACTTATTTAAATTGAAGGCTTCCAACTTGATTTTGAAGGCAGGTTCCTTGCACAAGACAGTGAGTAATGTGAACCTACATTCGCTCCCCTTCTTTATCTGATCTTTTGTCCAGTGGGCTGCGCCTCCACTTTCTTCACATTGAAATGAAGTCGATCTGATTTTGAGTGTAGTGTGTTCTGGTGTCTGGTAAAACCAAATCCATGTCACTGCTTTGTGAATATCCTTGTGTTTGTACACACCACCTCACCTACAATCACCAAGTCGTTGAATGCACAGAAGTCTGGAAACAGTTCTCCATTCTCACTCTTCATTTCACTGAGTGCTTCTCGACCCACGATGAGTCCTCTTCCTGTGTTGTTCGCTGCCAGTATGGCATTCATGTCACCCATTAGAATTTTGATGTCACCATCGTCAACTGGGGTGGAGTCTTGTCCAGTGGTGATTTCAGTTGTCTGTAGAATTCTTCCTTCTTCTCTTCATCTGAATTATTTGTAGGTGCGTTGTGTAGCGTAGCATTGTATGATTGTGACTGCTTCGTTTTGAGTTGAATCTTGCATTCATGATCCTACACGAGGAGATTGGTTCCCAGTGTATGAGAGAGAGTTTTCGATGCTCTTCAAGGAGGACATCATGATAGCTACTCAATAACTCAGTGTGCTCGTGGTTGCCATTTGGGTAAGAATATCGGAGTAGATTATTGACTCTCCATTTGACAGTTTAGACAGTCAACTTGCATTCCATCTGCTTTCGCAGATTTTTAGCCTAGCACTTCTATGCCATACCTTCTCACCTCGTTTGCAATCTGAGCAGCCTTGCCAGTTAGCCTCAAACATTGTGCGGCTATTCCATGTCCTCATGCTTACTTTTGCTTTCATCGAGAGAAGCGAATACACGTTGGTTAATTGGCTTCGCGAAGGCTTTCACCAACTGGCGTCATTTTGCGTCTCCGATTCCAGCGAGGCGTAATTTTAATTTAATGTTTTATATTTTCTTTGTGGTTTGCAGTTTCTTTAATGGTTAGATTGGTACTACGGGTTAGGGTTGCTAGCCTTATACCCAAATTCCCTTCTTTATCCGGGCTTAGGACCCGGTCAGTAACTAGTGAACTAGTTACCTAGGGGAGGTTAACATCTGGTTAATGCAGACAAACTAACCTTTCATCATAGAAATGCAAAAGATACAACAATCAACTAAAACGTGCCATTGGAACTACTGGCTTTCTTTTCATCCGTCATTTTTTTTGCTCTGTTATGAAAGATCCATTTGTTTCAACTAACCAGTTCATTTTCATGGCTAAAACCACCTGGAGTTGAAATTAACAATATTTTGGGGATTGATAACAACAATAAACAAGCATGTTAAACTCCAAAGATATATGAACGCTGAAACTGATTAAAGCATATCAAACTATATATATATATATATATATATATATATATATATATATATATATATATATATATATATTACATCAAAATAACTAAAATACTTGATACTGATTGTCTGATATGTCCCAGCAAAATTCTGATCGCAAAACTAAGTGAAGAGAAAAAGTCTTCCATTCCTAAGACTTATTGGTGCAAACTGTAAACTTACACATAGGAAGCTTGGTGATCAGTAATATTAGTAAGCATTCGTGGATGAAATTCACACATTTCATGTACCAAATAAAAAGTATACTCACTCGAATGTGATGCCTGTAACGATGCTTTATGCGTAGATAAATTGGACCTGCCCCGAAAAACGGTAACCAACAGGATTCTTTGGACATTTTGTACATGTAACATAAATAACATGGAAAGCAGCAAGTCACTAACCAACCTGAAAGAAAACGCACAGTGATTTCATAGTGTGTAGATCATAATGAGGAACTCTCAAAAAAACGTTTTTGAAAATATGTTTTAATATGACGGAGAATATTTGTAGCTCAGGAGGATGATTTTGATGATGTTATTCTCTGAGTTGGATGGTTTAATCGTACAGTTTTCATTGTCATTCCAGACAACATTATTGCCACATACTCTAGAAAAAAGTCTGTTCTTCATTATTTCGTTGAGTACGGTTTTGCTTCTGCCTGGCTAAAGATACGACTACTTGTCGTATTTACTGTTGAGTTACAGAGCTTACTCCTGAAGTCTTCAGTGATGACTTTAGGCATGCAAAAAACTCTGATCCTGAAGCTGTTTCTTTATGGTAATTTAGTCCTTTCTGAAAGAGAACTTCCTCGGGTTTTGGTCAGAGGTTGTATGGAAAAGATGACTACATAGTTACTTGCTTCTTCCTCTTCTGAGTTTCATGGTTTTGAAATCTTAGGAAGCTCCTCTCGAAAAATGTTTCTTATCTGTTTTTGTGTCGTTAAATTGATTTTTCAGTGTTCTGTAAAGTGTTCTGTTGTGAGTTTTTCCTGAAGCTTTTCTCTTTTGACTGTCTATTTTCTGCTGACATTTCGGAATACTGCAGTCAGCGTTGGTGATCATCACGTGTACCATGTGTCTTCCACCCCTTTAAACTAATTTCCAGCACACTGGGCAGACGATAAGTGGTCTGCATCCGACACTAAAGGTAGAACATACTAGTGTCGACACTCATGGAGAAAATATAGCTGTTCTCTTGTGTATGCCTAACTCTTGGCGAAATTCTCCCGTTTCCGTACGGTAATAAGCAGTTGATGCTCGTTGGATTTTAAGATGATGGAGAATATTTGTAGGTCAGAAGGATGATTTTGATTTTTTGTTCTATGAGGTGGGCGATTTAATCGTGAAGCTTTCATCGTCATTCTAGACAAACTCCTTTCTAATGTTTGTGCTGATGATGTTGTCTAAAAGGACAATAAAAGGTTCACAGTTAAACCATTCAGCTCACAGAACACAATACCATCGAAAATACTTATCTTCAGTGGATTCATCCTGGAAGCTTATCTATCACCTTTATCACTTAGCTAATTTTCAACACTTTCATTTCAATTCTGACAAGGTTTCCGAAACGTTTCACCGTAGAATGCCTTATATTAGCATTTCTATCGTGATTACCCACGCGTGACGAAAGGTTCTAATTTATACGAATTTCTGAAGAAACAGTTGGTTCACCTATACTGGTCTGGATCTTTGGTCGACTGATTTTTCATGTCACTGTTTCTCCAAATTCCATCCTCTTCAGAAGCAAATATTTTAGGTTTCACTATTGACTATTTTAACGGGATAGACAATTTTGACAACAATGATGGAAAGCGACTAGTAATCGAATCCAGGATATTCATTTCATCCTGTTTGAGACTCGCCAGCTAAACGTAACTACCTCTGATGCAAAATCACAAGAAATGACATTTTAGGAAGAAAAACTACTGCAAATGAGTAAACCCTTTCCATTCTTCAGCTCCAATATGATACATTTAAACTTTACTACATTTTACAATTCCAATAAGATACACTAAAATATAAATGACAATTTGCATATATTTAAAATCCTGTACGGTTATTCTATTAGTGTCTTTATCTCTGGACGAAGTAAATGGAATACGCTGGTTTTTGCTCGCTGGTGGATGTCAGTAAGCTGCAATCATAACCTTAAGAAAAGTCCATCTACATTCCCAAAACATAGCTAATGTTTTATTAAATCTCTAAGCTATGCAGACAGCAGCCATAACTATTATGAACCAGATTACCTCAACAGAATAGTAATCAAATATATATATGATTGCTATCCTAACAACAAACTGAGTGCAAAAGTTAAGTGATGGAAGTCAGCGTTTGCTAAAGATATCAGTAGATTAAGAGTCAAGTTAGTGAATTTGGCACTGAATGACTCACATTCCAATGTCCATGACAATATGACTCTCCTCAATGTTATCTAGTGATTGACCTCCAACATCTGACAACAGCATTATTACCTAGAATTACAAACTTTCTGTAGATTCATCTCGCTGATTTTCATCATTAGGAACTGTACTGGCTGCCATTGGACCACAGTAGTTAGCATTTTAATATGGCATATTATAATGACTAAGCTGAATTTCTTAACTAAGAGAATTCTGCAAACATTCAGAACAAAGATGCCACTTTCTTGGCTATAGCGTGGCCGCTTCATGTACATCATTTCAAAAATGATGTATTTTGAAACTCCGCCCATCACCTGGTGGACAGATAAACTTCTTTATGGAGTCTTAACAGTATTTGTTTACAGATGATAGTTAAAGCTGTGAGAAAAGCTTAGTCGATGGTAAATTAAAAACTGGTTAGATTAAATCTGAAAACAAAGAAGCGATTCATCGTAACTGTCAAATATTAAATGGAATTGAAAACGCACCCTAAATTCTGCTCTTAGCCGCCGTCACATGCCAAAAATCTGTACAAAATCTATAACAAATAAGTACTGTAATAAGTGAATGTAATGTTTTCCATCTGCGCCTCAAAAAGAATTCTATACTAACACACAAGATTATATCATTTAAATTAGTGCTTATCTAAACTAAATTCTAGTTACTTCTATCTAAAGATCACTATTTCATGAAATAATGGTTTACTACTTATTGATAATTGTAATTTGTTATAGTGGGTCTTACTGTTTGACCTCTGTTGGTAGAGGAGCTCCTATCCGGGTGCCTCGATTCTGCCTCACCAAACAGACTAAAATATAATGAATATCTGATAGGTTCGAGTCTCAGTGGGAACAACATTCACTGGAGGGCAGGTACGTCCAGCTGACAAGTCCCAAATAGGAGGAAACCTGCTTCCTGAGTCCCACTGCTAACCACCAAATAGACTAGAAAATAACGGTTTATTTTTTCTATTTGTCCCAGAGAACAGAAAAATAGGAGTGAAATGAGGCTATCTTTGTTCGAAGAATTTCTCTGTACGGTACGGCTTCCTTCACAAAATATTGCAATTGGCAGAACTTTTACTTATTAAGACCAGTGTTTTTAAATACATCTGTTGTAGTTGCAGTTTTAAACGAATTAAATGACCGGATATTTCTTATATAAAGTACTGATATACTCAAAAGTATTAGCCATAGTTGCAGAAAACTTATATCAATGGGGAATTCAGGAAGGTTCATAACTGCTGGAACACGAACAGTTAGCGATGTTACAGTAATAAATGGATAAAACTTGGTTTATATATACGGCCGTAACGAAATCTGGAAGTTAAATGCAAATGTATTTATGTCTTAATGTAAGTAAGTAAAAATATGCCATACTTTTGTGAGCTACTTAGGATAAATCTAAATTATAGTCAAATTAAGATTACAGTGCTGAATTTATATGTAATGTAGACATTAGTAAGTTTTGGTTTCTAAAACGCTTTAAAGTTCTGCATTTGAAGATCCAAGTAAAAATTCACCTCAGAAGATTCGGGAAGCATTTCATGTAATTTTTATATAATACAGCACTGATATCCGTTGTGAGTGCTAAGAAACTTCATATTAAGCAAACTTTTAACTGACAGTTTCAGTAGTAAAGTCGTTCTGAAGTAGGGGAGAATATTTGTAGCTTAGGTGAATATCCTTGGTTGTACTATGTTGTTTGGACTGAGTTGTTTAATCGTGAAGCTTTCATAGTCATTCTGGACGACATCATCAGCACTAACTGCATACTTAAAACTTTGGAGCAGTGAGCAGCTATTTCGTCCTAGTTTGAGAATGCCAGCTGTGCTCCTCCGGGAAACAACAAGGGGTCGTAAATGCATACTGTACGGGAGCCCCATACTGCAAAGAAACAAAAGGTTTTCTAAGGTCCTTCAAGCTACGTCGATCCGGAATCGGTACTAGCCAGAAAGGAATTTTCGACATAATTATACTAACTGTTCATGCTAGGACTCGCACTGCAAAAGAAAATAAGACAGATCGATGTATGAAAGTGAGCAGATGAGCATTGATTCTGTTTGTCACACTTCACAGCAGCGTCCAAAAGAAAAGTATAGAACAATATGATACTGAAATAACAAAAGTGAAAGAGAAGAGACGGGAAATTAATGAACTTTGTTGGAAGTAATAACTAATTCGTAGATGACAGTGAGTATGTACATCCCCATCACACTGAACAGCTTCAAGCTATATCAACAACATTCTTTAGTCATCTATCTCCATCTTCTCTAGGACCCCCTAGATACAACCTCCACCTCCTATTCGCCTCAGACCAATTGTCAGAAACTTTATGGGTTGATGTAACTCTCGGCCTAACTACCCTTCACCTCTCTAAATTCCAATTTTATTTCGTAAAACATCGTGCATCCCAGTATGCGACGCCCTGGAATGCAATCAACATGCTACCACCTACTCAGTTGATAAATATTTACAATCTCTTCGACTGACTTGCCCTTTTTACCTAGACTCCCCGCCTAACATCAACACTGCCTATCTCGTGGTCCGGTCAAACATGAGCGATCCCACGAGGACAACTCTATTCCAAGGCCTGTAGCCTTATGTCTTCCCCCTTCAGTGGCCATACCTCATAGCCATAAAAAAGAACAACATAGACTACTGCAGGATGAACTCGTTCCTTGGTAGGTAGTCGGATACTTCATTGGTGCCCAAGGTGTTGAAGGCTCGTAAATGCCAAACCAGTTATTGTTATCTCCACTGATATTTCGTCAGTAGGCAATCCTTTACAGAGGATGTGACTTCAGAAGTGAATAAAGCACTCAACAAATTCCGGCACTGTTGTCAGTAACCATAATTTAAAAGTCAGTGCAAAATAGATCGGTAATGTCACCTTACATGTAATAGATACCAAATGCAAATCAAACTAACTCATATTTTTGTTCAATGTGTTCAGAAGACTCTATACTTCAGACATATCTTGGTCTTACAGGACTATCTGGCATGCACACTAGAAGTCAAACATATGCAATCTGGTGACGGACAATATGTGTGTACAATTAACTGTTTAGAGTAGATACGGTTCCTTTTTATCTTAGTATTTTATCAATTAATGAACAAGTCCAATCCCTTTTGAGAAGTTGGGGAACTGTAAAACGCTACATTCAGCTCTAATAGTCATATATACTTAGTATTAGTTTCAGTAAAGAAAAATGTTTTATTCCTAGTATTACGGTAGATGTACATATGTATGTATTTTTAAGGGCGTTACAAAGCGTTTTCTGAAAATATTAATGAATAATTGACTTTAATTTTAATTCCTAATATGTATTGTTTCTGTTAACTCATAAACACATTGTTAGTTAATAATGAAGCAAACAGGAAACAACTAGAAAACAGTGAGAACTTCAGCAAAAACAGCATAAAATTTTCTTTCCTTTAGAATGTTGGTGGGAAAAAAAACAGTCAAAGGTGAAATCTTCAAGTATATTCAGATACTACAAATTTCTAATATCCAGATGACAATTAGTTCCCTTGATAAACTTCGACAAAACAATAAGAAGACGTAAATTGTCTGAACCGTGTAATGTATTTGCGTAACACATTTCGAACTATCTGATCACACACGTACTTGTCATAGGTATTTATATAAAAACTCATGAGAACATGTTGGGGAGGGATCCTGAAATTTGTTGAAGCCTATTAGGAAGTTTAAACCACCTTTATGTATTCATAAACAATTTGTTGTCACATTAAACCTTCCTTGGTAAATTCAACTATTGAAAAACCAAGTTCGATGTACTATTATTTTTTCGCCCTATTGATTTTCATTGTTATTCGGCCTTTAAGTCAGCCTTCCTATCTGACCCCTTTTTATTTTCTCACCCCTTATCTTCATGAGTTTTTATATAAATACCTATGACAAGTACGTGTGTGATCAGATAGTTCGAAATGTGTTGCGCAAATACATTACACGGTTCAGACAATTTACGTCTTCTTATTTTGTCGAAGTTTATCCAGATGACAGAAAATTTTGGTAAAATGCTTACACTAGTTACTAAACAGTATTTATAAAATCATTAGATGAAGAAATAATTTTCATTCCCTGCATGATTTAAAAGTGAACATTAACCCTCATAAGAAATCATTTTTTTATGAAGACTGATATGTTCACAGAAGGTAGTCTACAGTAACTACATCAATTTTAATTACCTATACTCATCAATATCGCTATCAAGTATGTATCTGCTGAATCTTTCCAAAGAATTATTATTTCATTCACTTCAGTTAACAGCTGTTATGTCAGTTATTCAAATTTAATGAATTGCACAATTATTCATGAACTTGATATGAGCAAGATATCGAAAAAAATCACTCTAGGAGGAAAAAGTGCTGGCAATGAACAATGGCTAGCAGTGAAATCCAGGATGCACATTCCATCCTATTTGAGACTCGTCAGCTAGATGTACCTGCCTCCCAGTAAGCTATGTTGTTGCGACTAGGACTTGGACTCGGGACTAAACACTTCAAATGCCAGAGCGTTATCCACTAGACCATCGAGTCACAATGGCCACTTCTTGTGCACGGGCTGCAAGTTAATACAAGCAACAGCAGAAAAAATGTACTGCTTATAGAAAAGTATGCGCTAATATCTCCCTCCAGGTCTACTTAAAATACCATCTATTTGTATAAAACGATACAATTTCACGTAACTTTCATTCCTACATCTTTAATACAAGTTAACTTTCACTAATGAAAGTATTTCTTACTTATTCACACAGTAAGATTTTGCTTAGTGTACTACAATATGACTATCTTTTAAAATATCACTTTCAACTAAAGAATACCACAGTATTGTTCAGTTTTGAACACTCCCCCACCCCCAGTGTTATTCAGTTAGATGTCAGATTATTACACTAACCTACGTAAAGCGAATAAACTGAGCAAAATGTAAGCGTCTGCTACGTATTTTCTGTTCAACAGATTTGAAGCAATACTTTAACTCAGCATGATTAATTACCAAGCTTGCATTTGAATAAATGAAATGCGTGTAAACTAAATGCATACACATAGACGTGACTTACACAGTGAACAGTTGTCTGTGCATCCGTATAAGCCGTTCGTCCAGTCACGATCACGCTGTTCATTTGTCTGCACAAACAAAACAGGAAAAATATAAGAATCTGTTCCCTTAAAGTCTAATCAATAAAAGAGTATTTTCCTTTTACATCTACGAATGGAAAATAAAGTGCACTCAGCAACCTTATACACATTCATGTAGTGGCCAATGAACTACAACTTTTATATGAAAGCTAATGATACTACCTGACTGTCTGAACGTCAGTAGGCAGAATCGGGCTTGAACTTGTGACCTACTACTTCGAAGTCAACTCCCCACAACATGTACCATTAGATGCATTTATGCATATCACTTTTTGTTTCTGAAAGCTTTGAAAACTTGGGTATTAATTATTCCTACCAATTGGTATGCATATTGTTAGTCCGAATGCATTTCTATGGGGTAAAAGATTAAATTATAGAAGAGGTTGTGCACGACGTTTATAAATAATTGTTTCACCGGTAGACAACCATTTAACACTAAAGCATCCCTAAGTACTTTTGAAATCATAAACAGAAACAAAAATATCCTCAAAGTTGAAAAGAAAAATCCCATAGTCTAGGTAAGTGCCAAGAGATAAATAGTAGTATTATCCAACAGGAAGATTTTGCAGTACATCCGGTTTTCGTTCACTCTTTCAGATAAGCGTATTTTCATTAACTCAGATTAGTTACATACTAGCCGCTTACATCTTTAACTAGAAGCTATAAAGTTAATTAGAACACTGACATTGTCATCATATTTGACCAGTCAATAGATATTGAACATTTGTACGCCTACTTTTGTTACTCACCCTTTCACATCTACTTTAACTTAACAGCACATATCAACAGTAAAAAAACACTGAGAGGTTTCTCAGTAAACTGAGGAAGATGAGGAATTTTAAGCTTTATTCTATGATACTCAATTTGGTGTGTAATAAATCACTGATATAAAATACTTTGAAATGATTATCCAGCTGCTTTCAGTAAAACATGATTCCCTTTCATTTCCCAGTAAAGTCTGAATGTGCATCATATTCTATACGTCATAAGATAAACTGATCGAATCATTTTAGTAGGGGGATGTAAGAACTACGATGATTTATGATTGCGCAGATTACACGAAGAATTTTAAAGGTCACCCTAGCAACTGCTGGATTAACTAAACAGATGTCACCATTTTGACTTGGAAGGTAGTTTTTCATAGAATAGACGAAAGTAATTGGTTATTTCAACAGTTGCTAAAGTGGCCTTGGGAGTCACTTGATTACACATAGTCTAGATAATCCGGCGAAAGAAGTGTAGGTAACCGATTACCTGTTCTACAAGGGTCTCTGTCTGATGTGCACCATTAGTGAAAACCTGAAACAGCAGGTGGTCGAAATTTAGATATCTTGCTGTCTCATTAATGAGACATCATGCAGATATTGAAATAAAATAATCTTGAAATTAATAAACACTTCTCAGTTTCATTACTATAACCGTCTTTATTTGCTTCAACATCAGTGACAATTACTGCAGTTGGTCATCATTAAAGGAATAAAGCATGTGAAGTCTGCATCAGTGGACGTAAATTATTTAGAACAAAAAGCATAAAAATAGACAAGCTAGGCCAAATTTGCCGTGACTTATCATAAGAGCCACTAAGAATTGATTTGTATGTATACACTGTTACCAATGGTTACAAATCTATAGTGAAATCGCCCATCTGTGAACAAAACAAAAGCGATTTTAATAATCACCAGCTATATGCAATCAACTGCAATCTGGATATCTTAATGACTGAAAGTTAATCCAGACTTTCAGGAAACTAGTTGGTGTATTCTCTGTGATAGAAAACCACAAAAACCCATTGTCACTGGATCCTTCTTCCTCCTTCGATTAGAAAGAAGTTCATTGAGACATTCGAAAACACAAAATATTTCAGCGAAGAGAATTTGACTTCCGAAAAACCATTTTCAGTAGCTGTATAATCGTATTTATCATTATTATTGGTTAATAGGTCAACATTGGATAATATTTTGTATTATTTTACTCTGATTAGTGATTATGATTATCTTTTTTGTTTAACCGATTATTCAACACCGTGATCGACAGTATATTCTTCTTGCGCATCGTATGATTACGCAACCTCTCTCTAAGTCAAGAAACGACTAACCATTTCATCCTGAGACATTCCATTTTGATAACCTAGCGTTGACCAGTTAGCTAGTAATAAACCAAACTGTTTGTTTATTATAACTACGAATACAATTGTATAGCTGCTGAAAATGAGTCATCGAAAAGAAATTTCCTTCTCTGAATTACTTTGCGTTTTTGAATGTCTCAATGGACTTCTTTTCTGATTGAAAGAAGAAGGATCCAGTGACAGTAAAAGAACTCAATGGGTTTCTGTGGTTTTCTATCACAGAGAATACACCAACCAGTCTCCTGAAAAGCTGGGTTAACTTCCAGTCATCAAGATATCCAGATTGCAGTTGATGGCAATTTCTATAGCTTGTAAGCTGTTTAGTTGATGGTGATAAAGTACCATGATTTAATCGTGAAGTGTGCTGCTCTTTCTCTACTAAATTATTTATGTAAACTAAATAATGAGACAGTACTTTTAGCAAGTAAAAGTTGACCTTATATTTTCCTGTGCAATCCAAAAATCAACGACACATTACTCATACTACATCAAGTTATATCTCTTTAAAATTTGATTTAGTGGAGAAAAAATAATATCAGCATTTTATTCACTTAACTAGAGTCTGTATTACAAAAACAAACGTTTTCCTAATCTTGCAGTCACATTTATACCTTTTTCCTCAATTCAGTTATGGAGCACAAAGCTATCGGCGTTTGCTTTTCACTTGTGGGGTATTCTGAACTCTACGGTGCAAAACAACATTGGATCACGATAACTAACGACACGTATCTCTCATACACTCACTAAAACACCTGGTATTTCATCAGAACCTATTTTGGTGTCTAAGAAAAGTAGGTTTCGGTACAGTATAGTTTCACTCAAAAAACGAAGAGTTGTTGATATATCCAAAATAAAATACAAACAGCTTACTTGACAAAAATTTCCCAGTAGAAATGAAAGCCTGTGCCCCTTACTTACCAACTTTTGTACTATTGAAGTAATCCTTATCTAGTGACATTGTAAGCTATCAACAATGTTCGAAAACCGTTTGTAATATTGTAACCCTGATCTGAATCTTTTGTCCACTGGAAATTAAGGAACATTGGATAGTTGTTTTGTTTTACTTTAACAAATTTAAAGAGTGTACATATACGAATTCACAGAAAATTAAGTTCGGATCATCCAATCTCATCAGATGGAGTTAAGTGTCCTTAGATCTTAATGGTTCTCTGACTGATGTCAAATTCTGAAAATACTTTGAAATTGGTCCTTACAATCTATTTGGTTGAATACTTCCCAACCATTTATCGAAATGAAAACTGATATCAAATTGTTTTTCATCATTTTGTTTCACAGACTACTTTGACTAATTTCAATAGTCATTCAGGTTATCCTCAGAATTTAAGCATTTGCATAGATATGATAACGCTAGACGAAATTGAAGACAACGAGAATCCAATCGGTGCACAACTGTTCTCACCAAGCTTGTATTAAGAAGTAAATAAATGGAATAATGTCACTCAACTCGGTAAATGTTTGTATGTTATGCTATGGACTGTGTTTGTTGTACGATGGTTTATATTACTGCTCGGTTGCCAATGCCGAAGTAGGTGAATCGGATTCGAAGCCGGGATCCATTGTATCGAAAAATACTCATCATCATCAAGAACAACATAAGACCAGGCACTACTGCGTAATGATCCAAGTTGTTATATTTCATATCAGCATATCAAGTAACAAGGGGATAAAATGGAAGCTGAAGAAAGAAAGAAAAATCGGTCAAACGAAGTAAAAAGTAGTAAAAGAGAAGAAGTAGGAATGAGAATATGATGACATGAAGTATAGCGGTTGAGATGAGGATAATGTGTGTATACATCTTCGCCACAGACATCGGTCCTGAGCCATAGATCCCAGAGTCTCGAATCACTGGTTCCTCTTGTCCCGTGGATACCAACCGGCTAGTCTGCACCAACTTACATGGCTCAAACAAACAGTCAAGGACTTCATGCGTTAATGTCATGTTTTAGGCTGGTCACCACGAGACTTTTTTCAACCTGGGCCTACTTGGAATAACATTGTGCGACGAGGTAGACAAGGTAAGAATCAGTAACTGATTGCGCTCATAGTAATTACTCATCTGCTTATTGACCTGAATGCCGCCAGTATAAACCCGCGTCTACCACTTGATTATAATCTTTGTATAGAAATTCTAAACCTTTTTCAAAAATTGACTGGTAGATATCATATATATATATATATATATATATATATATATATATATATACGTTCGTGCTTTTATATCCAGCACAATATTTCCTGTTTTGGGGAATTGTTTCCCATCATTTTTGTCCCATGTACTGGGAGTGACATTTATGATTCTGAATTCACTCAGCAACCTCTTTTCATTTGATCATGTTGGAGTTAAAATGTAATATTCTGTTTTTCATCCTATGGTATTCCATAAAACTTTTTCCAAGTTTTTACACACTTGTGCTCCCGTGGGCTGAACGTTCATGAATCATCAAAACTCATTCCGTCTGATTTTGAGTAATCCACCCTTCTCAACCCTTATATTTAACCCGGCCGTCAGCACAAGATATTTCAAGGAATACACTATATTTGTGCAACTTGTTTTATTGGATTTTTAAGTTAGTTTAATTTATTTTGAATAAAATTCATTGGTTCACATATAGTCCGAACAAATGCTTTTTTGAGATTTCTTTGAATTCCTTTGAATATTTCTCTCCTACATGATAAAACTACTTAACTTTCTTATCCCTTTTCACTGTGCAATTTAATTTCTTTATGTAGTCTTCATCATGAAGGGATACCATTTGGAGAATTAGCGAAAACTTGGAAACACTGCACAACCTTTTCATCCCAGTAAGCGATTCCTCATCAGTGCTCATTCATGACTACAGGACGAATCTAGTTCAGGCCTGTCAAGTCTCTTAGAGAACGCCTTGCTAACTAGCCACTGGGTTGGAATCCAATGGCACACATCTTCCTGCTTCTGTGATAAAGTGTGACCATAGTCCATTGCCATCGACCGTAGAACTTGTATGACCAAAGAGATAACAGCTTCTTATTTAAACTTCGAAAACTGTATCTCGGAGCAAGTCACTAATGAGAACTGAAATAATCTTCTTTTTTGATTTGTGGTAGTTGATCGGTTTCAAGGGAGTTTTCATCACCGAGTGATGGGCAGATTTAACTAACTTCCGTATATCTAACCGTCTCTGTCATCTAGTTCATGAGGCAAAAACTATTTCTAGAACAAAAAAAGGTTCAATTACTGTGATTAAGTAGTATTGTCCAATAAAAAGGTGTTTTCCAAGTATTTCAAGATCCATGAAAGAATATTTTAATACTGTTTATAGCTCACTTAAATTCATGAAGACATGCCGTCATTGCATCACCAGACTTTTGTAAACAGCAAGAATAAGAACAAGATACATATTTCACTTCAGTCAAAAATTTATTTCTATTTCCGTATGTCTCCACAGAAGCCGATTTCTTGAAAGTATAAACTGTTATTCTTCCTTAATATTTAAAACATTATGCAAAATATCTACCTAGATAATGCTGCTAAGGTTTAAAATACAACTGGAGTAGTCAACTAAAACTGTACAGCAAAACTGAAATCCTGGTTTCAATTGAAAATCCACTGTTAATAGGTAACAAATCATAAGCATTTCACAAGGTTATAGTAGAATATCACAGATATGAAAGTTATATAACATCCGAACTTAAGTACTCAGTTTTCATATGAGCTGCTTGAATTTTATTTATTATTAGCTTGGCTATCTGAGATAGTCGTGGTTTGGCAGACTTGTACTGGGTGATGATTGCAGGTGCAATGAAAATTTGGGCCACGGTATGATTCGAACCAGCGACTTTCGGGTTTCCGGTAGTGTTTTACAAACTGAGCTACGGAACCTGACTGCTAACCAGATTTTTATTTTACGCTAATCAACAATTTCAATATACTTGAAAAATAGCTCATTTCTATTTGCTTTCGATAGTTATTAGGTAATATACATCCGCTGCTGCCTACGCTCACTCGCTACTGAAGATCAAATGGCCAGAATAATAAGCAACAAGGAACTCTGGCAACAAACCAACCAAGAACCTATCACCCAACAAATATGCAGAAGAAAGTGGAGATGGATTGGGCATACACTGAGAAGGCCGACCGGAAACCACGCACCAGGCTCACAAGTTGAACCCAAAGGGGAAATGAGTTAGGCGTCCCAGCTGAGGGTGACATGGACGAGATCATAAGAGGGAGAAATGAAAGCTTGTGGGGAGTCGTGGAGCCAGGTTCAAAAGACTGCAGAGGAGAGAGTGAAATGGAGGCGTGCAACTGAAGCCCTATGTTCCACTAGGAACCCAAGGGACAATAAAATAAAATATACATCCACATAATAAAGGTAGGTAACACAGATATTCGAGAGAACACTAAACTTCAAGTTAGAATTTATTATCATGTTTTGCGTAAATTGTAGCCTTCAAAGTAGGGAACATTAATAAACAGATGAGTTATTGAAATTTTGAAGTTATTAAATTGTATTATCACAGGAATTATAGGTTATGTAAATCTAAATATTTTATTTTACGTTATCAGTATGAGAAGTAAAGACTAGAAAGGACAACTTGAGATAGCTTTGTGAAACCGATTGCTTTAAGTGACAAAAAGCATGATGTCAAGCCTGTGTCAAAATAAAAGCTTTATTACTCTTTTGTTAGATTATTAACTTATTAGAATTGATGGTGATCTAACCAACATGATGACATTAATACCAATACTATTCTCTGCTTTGAGGTATACCACAATAAATCCATGATAGTCATCAACATTATTCTCTAAGACATAAAAGTACTTTTTGTGATTACTTAGATATTAAAAGATCAGATAATTATGCAGTAACATCTACTTCATAAGCAGTTTGTGCATTCTGCACGTTCTACATCTAACCTCGAATGATGAAACTACGCTGAACTGAAGTTTATCTGGATACAAACTTATATATATTTTAATGATATCATCTGACAGACGATAGTTCAAATGGGCGTATCATCCAAATATATTAACTCTACAATCAGTTCAAGTTTATTATATTGAAAAATCTAAGAAAATTGATCGTGTCATGTGACAAATAAGTTTTTATGTAATGATTACAAGGATATCTATTTGAAAATATGTATCTTTCAAGCACTTACTCCAACTATGTTTGGTTGTTCAGTAATAACTGTATCTTGGTAACTCATGATCAGTAATAACCTTTCCTTCAGGAATAGAAATATTTTCCTTTTCCTAATACAGGTTAAAAATAAGTGAACGTTTCAGCTCAATAGTATCCTAGCATTATTAAGACCAGGCTATCACCAACAACATATTCTTTGACTTGGTTACGCGAAAATATACAGAACCAATATGAATTTCATGTATTGATGTGTATGTGCATGTATTGGTGCCCATATTCTGTCTGTAAGAATTTCGTATGCCTACCTACATAACTTCGTATTCAATCTGCTTGCATCATATATATATTTATGGTAGAAAATTAGTAATATATGCAGTTGATTATCTCAATAAGTTAACATTGCTATGGCTACAGTACGTCAAATATATGACTTTCTGTTTAAAATACTTGAAAATGCAGGTAATGAAATACTGAACAGCGCTACAAACACACTATTCATACACACTACCGCAAGTGCTTCTGGATATAACAGAAGGAAGGGATTGTTCCTTTTTATTGTCATTGGATATCGTGATTGGTATATATTTTAAAAAATAAACAAAAGAAAATATTTAAAGTTGAAATCTAACATCACTGTAGGCGAAGTTTTTATTTAAAAAGAGGGGATATATTGAATTTCTCCAATTCATCAGGAACTTGCTCATAGAACTAACTTTTTGAAGCCTGTAATAAATTTCTGTGGCTACTTATTTGATAGCCCCAGATGCAAGTAAAAGAAATACTTACATTCCCGTCAAACAGTAGGAAACCAGTGGAGAGAAAGACTTAAAATTAAGTCCCATGCTTGTCGGCGGCTGTCAGGTAGGCGAATGTATAGACTTTAGAAATCCTGTATGTAAATGTTTTTACAAAGTAGCAGTACAATGTATATCAGAAGAACGCAGTGTCCTTACTAAACGAATCTCTGAACATGTATCGAAAAGCCTGTCAGTGCGAGGTGCAAGGCTACCTAGAAGTATCATTCGTAAGCCAATCCTCGATCCAGGTGATGCCATCGACTCAAATATAGCTTTCACGACAAGTAATGGATACAGAAACAGTAGACTGCCGCGTTAGGCAAAAGCAGCAGCAATCCTACAACTGTATTGATTACTTTATTCTTTTATTTTGCTGTCTTACATATTTTACTCAAACATTACTTATGTTCACATCAATTTCGTTTTACTTAAGTCCATTATATTTTAATCATGACCTTTAGCATATCCCTTTCTATTTCTAAATCATTAATTCATACACTTTGTACACCATCTGTCTTGTCCTCCTCCTTTTTATCAGATCTCCTACCACCTTGAGCTGTAATCATATTCTAGTGCCGCTGTTACTTCATATTATTTTCCTTATGTTTACTGGTCGATTTTGTAGCGTTGCGAATTACTTTACCTGTATTGGTTGGTTAGGTCGTTAACTTTGTCGTCCATCTCTATTCCCATTTTTGTGTATTCATATCTAGATGTGGAAGTATTTGGTGCTAATTTTACTGTCAGTGTGACTACTTGAGATTGACGTGGTTTAGCCAAAGTGTATTACTTATTGATAATGGATGATGATTGAAGGTGAAATGAAAACCTGGACAGCTGTAGGATTCGAACCAACGACCTCCAAGTTAATGGCCCGGTTCTCTAACAAGTGAGCTAAGAAACCCGACTGCTGATGAGATTTCTATTTCACTTCAATCACCAATGGTTTTGCTACAGTGCAATTTGAATTCGTGATGCTCTGCTATCATTTGATCGTATTCATACTGGCTTCCCAGCTAGTATTAGAATGTATTGACCTCAAGTAGTTCAAGATAACAGTAAGACTCAAATACACTTCATAGAGCTCTTTATTCACTCTAGTGATATTCTGAGTTCAAAATAACAACCAGAATGCAAACATATATCCAAATTCTCAGTTCACCTGAGTTAAACAAAATTTATAGTTTCATTTTACTGACCCCAGGAGTAAATAAATGGTTACCAGTGAAGTTGCTGTATTTTTGTACACATGTCAGAATTTAAGCAAAATATCTTAATAAGTGCTGAAATCATGAATGTAAAGTAATTGATGTTGACCATAACACACAATAAAATGAATGGTCAGGAATTTAACCAAAATAAAGTGAGCAGGACATGAAGGAGAGGGTAAAGATGTGACGAGACCTGTCAATGGAAAAGTATAACAAGGTAGAGCACTACGTCTCTGTGAAAGGATAACTTAAGACATCCTATTTGAATATTACTCAAGAAGAGTTTTATTATTTTCCATATCTCACCTATATGTAGTCCAGTTTCCAATTTAACTATTGAAGAATCTGCAAAACGTTACAATGCCACTGTAATGACTGCAAACCCATGTGAATTGAAGCTTTTTTAAACGTGTATGAAGGTTACATTGTTGTTTGAATGCAAATTTTCACCAATAGATGATGTGGAATAAAATTACATGTTTATCAAAATCATCCACGATTATTCTTCAGAGGTAGGATTTACAACTTTACAAATGAGAAATGATCAGTGTGAGAAGTGCTTTCACAAAATGCAGTTATTAGAACTCAAAACTTGTTTTTAATTCAGTATAATGGTAACGAAATCCGATTTAAAATACATAATGAGTTATGTAGTTTGGTAAACAGGTTCCTTGTCCTTACACTTATTCGTGTTTTTAAGCATCTGCAAACGAAAACGTTGCAAGCTTATACTTTATTAACAATCTAAATTTTATTTTTAATTGAGCAGAGCTTTTCTTGTGATAATCTATCGTTCACTTAGTGCAGTTACGATCAAAATCCTTTAATCTATTAAGAATGCTGATGTTTGTGCGCTTCATAAAAGAGGATATAGCTTTCTATTTACAATTTTCTACTTTTCCAGAAAAAATACCTGTGGCAACTGTTGTTATCACCTTTAGGAGGTAACGTAAATATCGTGGTTCTAAAATTAATACGAACACCTTTAATTTGAACAACATTTCAGTACAGTATACAGAATTCGCAACATGAAATATGCCAACAATAACTGCGACAACAACAAACATCTGTGAGGCTTATTCTGATTTCGGATGAAAACAAACATCTAATGAAATGTATGTCGATCATATTGAGGAGTCCCTACTTAGTGGAAACATATTTCGTACTAAAGTATCCCCACATTTTCTGATTCACATAGGCAAAAATACGATTTGGATTTTCATGCTATTTAAATTTTACATTACAACTCAAGATGAGCTAACACCTCAATCAAATCTGTTTCAACAGAAATCGAGGCATCCGCATAGGAGCCCATATGCCAACAGAGACTGATCAATTCGGTCCAATCAACGACGCTGTAATACAAGTAATAACACTAAACCTATATCCGTCGCACAAGAAGTGGCTACCGTGGCTCGGTGGTGTAGTGGATAACGCACTGGCGTTTGAAGCGATCGCTCCAAAGTCCAAGTCCCGGTGGGAACAGCATCACTCACTGGGCTTAAGTACATCCAGCTGACGAGTCCCAAATAGGACAAAATATGCATCCTGGATTCCACTGCTAGTCACTGTCATCATTACTAAACATAGAAATCGTAAACATTAAAACCTTTCATATAGTTTTATTAACATCAATTTTCTGTATTTTGAAGAAACTCAAGAGTCGGATTCAACCGGTATTCTCTGGATTCAAAATTAGAATAACTTATACTTGATGGCGCACATAGTAATATAGTATTATTTACCAGGTGACGTTTGGAGCGGAATCCATTGCCCATAATCATATCACGTCATGTATATCGGCTATATCAAATAGTCTAACCTGATATGGTTAAATTATATAGGACAGTATCTCCTGAGATGTCTGTCCTGAGCTTTCCTTCCCTCCTAGTTACTACGTACACTAAATACTTTCGATACATATATTTTAAAAATAGCATTATGTTTCATAACTAGTGTTCATTCATTCCTAAATTAACGATAAAAATAGCGCAATCGGCATATATAAAGCAAAATAACCAAAAGCGTAACAATAGCAAATATATTGCGTAGCAGCCGTGAAAGAGACGGATCACATGTACTCATACCGTTCCTCTATCCCAGTTGACTAGAAGAATAAGGGAATTAGTATCAGAATACCACTTCGCATCATCCAGGAGTAAACACCTTACTGCTGTCAGACCTTGACCAATAGCTTTTACCTTGACGTAATATTCGGGGTCGCATATCACAACGACTTAAAGAGCTGTATTAAACGGAACGATTGTCCCCTCGAGTTTCTATCATACCAGAAAGGCCTGTCAGATAGAGGTTAGATACAAAGCAGTTACCACTAGTGTAAATAGCTACAATATGATGGGTTTGAGGAAGAAGTCAAGTGGCTGGAAGGGAGAGTCATAGTAGTCAGGTGCTTCCTCTGATAACCAGCAGTAATATGCCAATGCCACGTTCCCTATGAGGAGGAGGAGGTTAAAAAAGGTCAACCCGAAAAATAACCTACGGCGTATAGGTGCTATAGATATGGGCTCATAATCATATGTACATAAAACAAAGTTACAAAAAGGCCATGTGTAACCGACCTCAACCGGATGTCCCCCGGACTCTGTGGTTGCACACTAACCTTTTATATCTGGCACCTTGAGAAGAAATAGCCTACCATGGTGTGGGCAGCCAGGAAGTGTCAACTGTCCTCACAAATCCGTTCCATCAGATCACTGTCCACCTTCCATATCCTTAACTTCTTTCACGCCTCTCAGTCAAATATTTCACATCTATGATTTCTTCCTACTCTGCAGCTCTCCACAGCTATCAGGGTTCACAGAACAACACTTCTGGTCCCCTGAAACCACGCTCAAGATTACACATTGGAGCCTTCAATCTCCGGACCATCTGTCAAGTTGACCAACACGCTTTTACCAGCCAAAACTCATGTAGGACCGAAGGGAGGCCATTCGCTTAATTTCACATGACCAAATGGTGAATCAGCAAAACTCACACTTCGAGTTTCTGGAGATTCATTGACCTGTTCTTAGGGTCTTGCAGGTGTAGGCAGAGCATTAAGTACTAAGCAAGAATTTGCATTTCTCGAATGTATCCCAGTTGTACTGTTTGACTGAGTTGGACGGTGAGGACCAAAAAAAATAATGAAAATCAGCGTTGCTTCTTTGTAATCTCCGCATACGCACCCAATGACTGCATTTTGGATGAAGTGAAGGATTAGCTTTATTGAAAACTGCCAAGCCTCCTACTGAAAGCCAAATGTGCAGACGTAGTTTTCGTGACAACTGGTATAAGTGTATGAGTGGGTAGTTTAAGTCAAGCAGGAAGCCATATATGTGTCACCATTGGAATCGCAACCTAACGAACAGATAACGGAGATCCTTTACTTGAACAACTTTGCTGAAAAAACATATATTTCTGGGTCAGCACGAAATTTAGAGATAAAGAGAAACATTGTCTGACGTGGCACCCACTAATCTCAAATCAGCGGTGGTCGCAGATAGTCTAAATTGCTGTCAGTTATCTCTCGAAACGGTCGGTGTAGGATTGCTACTCCTACTGGAGCATGTTTTGATGGCAACCATATTTTGTCTCTAGCGCTTACGTGTCTGCGTCTAAATGGATGCAGGAAAACTTTACCAATAAGATCATTGCGAGTGCAGCTCAACTACGGATCATTTAGGCTGCTTTCAGTGAGAAACTGACTAGACGAATATCGTCCATTAAGTATTTGATAGTTGATGTAAGCCTTTAAAAGAAAACTAGAATTCCCTGATTAGGTCCACCTAACAAAAGAAATCAGAACTTGAAGACTTTATGGCTCAGAATCGAGATCAGTGGTGCAGATGTAATCATACCTAATCTTAATTATATCGCCATACCGAATTAAGCATTTTTCTGTTCCTCTATACTCTCTTTCTCTACTTTTGGTAAAAATAATTTTGTCACTTGATGTGTAGTAAATCAGACCATTAGGCGGTAACGACCGGTGCTGCATAACTTCAAGTAAAGAACTTTGATTAGGGTGATATACTTGCTCGCTATTCACTTCATAGTCAGCCACTGCCACAACACCTCACAGTCAAATCCCCATTTCACGTCAAGCGAAATAGACAGAAAGGCAAACAGAAACAACGTGGGACCTGCTATACAACTGCATCGGCTCAACTTAGCACTTTTCACAGTAACAAACAAAAGACAGGTGGGGAGAATGAGATTGGTACTTTCTCGGTACTTGCTTAGTAGTCAGACACTGACACAACACTTCACGGTTGACAGGATCAAACGTCGCCTCCAGAGCAAAATATGTGGCAGGTGTCATCCACCAGTATGTATGCCTGTGCTTCAGAACATGTTAGGACGCGAAAATATGATCGATGCACCCACGACCAGGTCTGCCTGTAAACTGCCTGGTTTTCCCGAGTTTACTGTTTTTGAGCTTCAGTTACGCCCCGGAAAACTATAGAAACCAATATTTTTCAAACTGATTCCCCTATGGTTTTCACAAGATTTCTCCCCCTTCTTATAGACTGGGATTATCAGTGAAGTTAACTAGAGTGATGGTACTACCTATGATTTCTATAAATTACCTAGTACCTCCATCCTTGAAGACTTCAGGTGGTAAACTGTCATGTTCTGCTGTTCCTTTACGTCGTTTCAAATTCAATACAGGTTTCTTAACTTCAAGGAGAGTTGGAGGACCAACATCCACGTCCCATTCAGGTTCAGGCTGGCTGCATGTTGGGTAACTAAAGCGCTGCTGAGGGCCATTTGAACTGCGCTTCAAAGTGTTCAGCCCAACGCCCTAGCCACCTGTCCTGGCAGGTTATCTGAGTACCATCCTTTTCACTGTAAGCTTCATTCACCACCGTCTTCTTTCTGCTCATATCCTTAGTGAGCTTAAACAGTAAGTTTCGGCAACTGCCGAAAGTTACCCAACGCTGACACTGGAATGATTAGTGAAGTAGACGAGTCTGACACCACTGCTTCTGATTCCCATATACTACCTCAGTTTCTCCAGCCAGTAATTTTCTACCTCCTTCCTTAAAAATGTCTGGTGGCACTACGTCAGGTCCTGCTGCTTTGCATCGTTTCAGTTTTGTAAAAGCCTTCTCAACTTCGCGGAGATTCGGGGCCAACATACTATCCAGGCTTGGGTTGGATGCTGAAATTTCGTCAGCAACCAAACCTTTAGTGATATGACATCAAAAATGATTAAAGCGGTCAGCACATTCAACCACAGTTGTCAATATCCCTAATTTAGAAATCACTACAGACTAGTTTGGTAATATCATTTTATATTTGAAAGATGTCAAACTAACTGAGATTTGTGTTCAAGGTATTCAGAAGACTACATATTTCAAACTCGTTTTCGTCCAACAGAAATATATCCTATGTGCATTCAAAGCCATCCAGATGTTCTATAGCAGCTAAATCCGTAGTAAGTAGGCAGTAACTAACACCACTTCTAACAGTGTATGTACAACGAAATTGAATAAAAATAAATAAACGTGATCACATCAGTCTAACTACGATAAAATCAGTTGCATTGAACTTGATAACTGCGGACTGATTTTACCCGTCAAAATATGAAGGAGTATATACATTGTTAGTAAACAGACATACGGCAGTAAGATATTTCTGTGCATATATTTGAATGTTTTCAGACTTCATATGATAAATCAGATCCCTGTTTAAAGGTTCAAATAACTGAAAGTGACACCCACGCAGAACGATCGAAAACCACAATTAGTGAAATACTGAACATGCTCTCCGTCGATAAATAGACTTTGATAGTGATGATGGATACTGGCTAGCAATGGAATCTAGAAGGCAAGCTTCATCTCATACAGGATTGGATATACTAGTCTCCCAGTGAGTGGTGCGACTGCCAATGAGACTCGAACCCAAAACCCATCGCATCAAACGCTAGCGTCTTATCCACTAGGCTATATATATTGTTTAGTGTTATAGCTTGTAAAATCCATCAGAATATTTCAATAACCAGTACCACACAGTTATTATTATCATTATTGAAAACCTTGCAAATACGATACATATAATCATTTGAAATCACTAAGCTTCACAAGTTAGCAATATGATATCCAGAAATTTGGCTAGTAAAACCACACAAAAAAGGCATAAAATCTTATTATTATATTTGGGCATTTATCAAAAGAAACATTTTCGACCAATTATCAAACACCTGGAAACTGACACCGTACATATAATCAAAAGTGGCGATTTGTACTAGAAATCTTTCATGAGAGAAGAGATTTCTGAAAACCGATTGTCGTATTCTTCAGCTTCTATGAAAGCTGAAATAACAACAATAACAAAATAACACTTGTAAACAGCAAATAAACAACAAACTATTATAAGAAATATTGAATTTAAGACGTAGAAATTGAAAAATTATTGGTCAAGACCCATAGTCCATAAACCAACACTTAAGTGTGGGTTTTGAAGTTGAGCATGTGTAAAACTGCTAATTAAGTAATAACAATGCAGCCATATATAGATGAATTGCATCACCGCATTTTGAACATGGCAAGATGAAAGGGAAACGAATCAAAAACAAGATGAAAATGACTATAAGCTACCAAAATATATTTCAGGAGTTTAGCAACAAAGATAAACCTTCCCTAATGAGAACACAGTCGTAAAAGTTCTTTATCGAAAGATACTACTAGTGAATAAGTTGAGTAGTTAGAACTCACTCAGATTGATATTTAGCATTTCGCCAGCTAGATCAGAAATATCTTAACACCTGAAGGCCGTTTCGTTCGTTTGAGGTTTGGAAATTCGGCTCAATAAGCCGGTTTAGTCCGGGGTACACTGATGACGAGCTCAGCTCCAAACAAGCGAAACAGTCGTCTGGTGTTTAAATCACTCTGGTCTGGCTGGTGAAATACTATAGACCAGCTTGACTTGTTCCTAACAACTCAAATTGTTCAGTTGTAGTACCTTTCGCTAGTTCATGGCACTTTTATATCAAAGATTACGTCATTTAATCTCTGCTAAGCGGTTTCGAGCTGAAACCTTATTGACAACACAGTTGGGTAATTGAAAAACTGCTCAGCTTCGAGAAATGTCAACGTTAACCGTGCAATTTTTAAATAATTTTCAAATTGATCATCCTATTTTCTTACCGAAACTTCATTACTATGACTAGCCTGTGTGCAGTAATATTCTACTGACTACTTCATACTTTAAAAACAGTGAATATTCACTTTTAACTTCTGTTTCCTTCGTCTTTTGCCTGCTGATATAACATCGACGAGCATACTTAACCAGTATCTACAGAAATGTTGCATGTCAACTTTAAGAACTGTAAAAACACATTACCATCAAATCATAACGGATTCATCAACTGAATGAGAAAAACCAAGTAATATACCTGAAATTTTCCTCATAAATTTACCTTGAGAGAGATTCGAAAGGTGATATGCAACTAAACAATCCGATGAAGCAGTATCCGATAACGACAGAACTTTATCAATTCTATTCAGTAATTCGTCTGAAAAGTAATTGAAAAAAAGGGTTTGAAACATCAATAAGAAGAAAATGTACTCCATAAATCGTAATGCAAGAGAATAACACTTGCTAAAAATACTAAGGTAAGTTATGAACCAATCACTATGATATTCATATCGTGTTCTAAACATATATGCTGAATCAACTTAGAGGTAAAGAAAAACTGTTAGCAGATATTTTTTCAGAAAAACACAGTACAAGTAGACCAATGTGCTTGAACACTGTAACAACGCTAACGAAAATATAAAGAGTGTAGTTTTATCAAAACGAAATCTGCCAAATAGGAAGCTCTTCTATTAGTCTAATTAAAACGTGCAAAATAATATGCAAAAGGATGGACGCTATCGTGTTCTAGTAAACTTTTCACCACTAATATGAAGTAATGAAAACCACTGTTGTATGTAAAGCACCTTGATTAACAGGCAAGAGGATAGACGAAACCAACGTAGAACCTCGCTCAAAAGTGTATCGCTTCAAGTTGCCACACTTAACACCAGCATACAGATAGCAAGCGAAGAGGAAAATAGTGATATCAAAGTAGACAAACTCGTGTCACAGAATAAATGGTTTGAAGATAAAAGTTGGCGCAAATATTCAAGCTTTCGAAAACGTCAAGGCGCCATTGTGACCAATTTTCAGCCATGTCATCTAGTGTTCTAAACTAATGATTTATATCGTCTCGTGGACCCCAGGCAGGTAGTTTACATCTCACATACAACTGAGACGAATAGTATAAGACTTCATCGACTGATGCCACGTCTTTGTCTTGGTACCATGAGACTTCTTCCAACGGCACGGAGTAGATGGTGACTCGGCATGCACAACACATATCCAAGTCGCCTCAGCCAATGAAGGCTCACCCTTCGCTTCACCTCCACATTGCTCAAACGATGATTCCCACAAACTCAAAGAATGCTACAACCCGTAAACGCTTCATGGGTCCTACTTTTAACGATCATGTCACATTGTCGTATAACAGGACAGAAAGGACAGCACCGCAGTGGACTGGTCCTTTGATCGATAATCAGATGTCTCGCCAGTCGATGTCAGCGCTGACGCAGGTTGGTAAATGTCAAACGAACCTTCCGCAACCTATCTGAGATCTCATCAGCAACCAGCCCGTCCATGCTAATGCAACTCTTCAAGTAAGTGAAGTGGTCGACACACTCCACGATGATTAAACTAGGAGTGGCTGCAGACCATTCCTGGAGCATCATCCTAAATTTGACAGATGCGATACTTTGATTACTTTTAAAATACAGCTAGATGGAAAAGTACGGTGCAATGATTTTAGTGAATTCGATAAATGAACATATCAACTAATCACCATAAATGGCCATGAGAAAAACTTGTTGAGTACACTATAAACAGGTTACGCAGAGCATATTGGTAGTTTCAATAATTTTAATAATTCAATGCTAATTTGATAGACCGCACTCACTTAAACAGTAGTGAAAGGTCCCAATGTTTCAATTTTGGTAAGCATGCCACTGCTGATAATTTCATTGTTGAACACTGTAGGTGGTACTAGACACAGCCTACAGTGGCTATTCGGCCCGATTTCTACATTCAGTGTTCTTCAAGACTGTCAACTTCCTCCACTTTTACTTTAACATTGTCATAGACGTACTTACAACAGTTGCTCACTCTTCTTCTAGATTAACAAGAAATAGTTTTGCTACTTGATAAGACCTGATGAAATTGAATTAAAAATGGATCCCTAAATCGCTAACTTAGGCTACTTGTAGCACTGGTGAAACATGTGCATATCCATTGTGGGTCGATGGTTCTATGCAGGAGTTCACTCTATCCTACTATGTAAGTGAAACATATGTGGTTGTTAAACTAGAGGATATGAAAGGGTTTCAAGTCTTCAAACGCCAATAACTCGTTAACGCCGCTCGAGTAAAATGATACCAACGAGGTAGGTCAATCGATGAGCTTGCGAATCTTCACCAGATGAAGTGATTGAAATATGAGTTAAGCACGTTGGACATAAATTTCCTCCAGCGTACAATGGTTTCTCCCGTGAGAAAAGAATGGAGTAAAGATAAAGCTAGTCATACAACAACATAACATCAATCCAAAGAGTTTCTAACCCTCAATCTACGTTGCACAGACTAGAACAGGCTTACAGATTGAAACTCTTCAAATGTTAAGACTAGAAACTGTCAATCTCCCGGCAACATAATTTGAAGTCAACAGCAGTGAAACAGACTTACTTGTGCCTTACTTTCATTGAAACCACAATGTCATATAGACTTGATATCTGTATCTAAAAATTATTGAATTTAACGTCCAAACTAAGACTGAAGAAACTTTCATAAGACTGTGATGAAGAAAAAAAACCTACGACAAACTAACCGATATAATAACGGCATTGACGAAATCTATTTGCACAAAAACACATACTCGAGCATAAAAACACCGCAACTACGAGTGACTATAAAGGCCACCATAACAATAACTAAAGTGACCAATTAAACTACTTTACTTCATGAAAATTTGCCTTCCCAGCCGAAATAAAGAAATTGAACTAGCTATCTATTTCAGTGGTTGCTAGGATAACCTTTGAAATCACTCGTAACTATCATAGATGCTCTTCTACTCTCGGTGCATAGAATAGTTTTAATCTGTATACCATGTAGGATTAAAACCCAATCAGAATACACTAATTTCATAGAGTATTTTTGAAAATATTTAGCACAACTTAAGACTAATCAAATGAGAAAAATAAACAAGCATAGAAGCAGAATCATAAAAAGGTTAATATTAGGTTAACGTAGACGAAATGAATGGATATGTGCAGTCGCATAACCAACCTGGGATATTCAATAAAGATTCTTTGGTTAAACCGCACAGACTAGAACTGAATTTTTTTGACCATTTCTGATAGATTATCCACAATTTGATAACTGTACAAATATATTCTATGCATAGGGATGGTTGGTTAACTGAAATCGGAAATCAGTAATAACAATATATAAATGATGCAATACCCAAAGGGTTGGATAAACAATCTACATTTGTTGTATTATGCTCTAAAATAATCATCAATAAAACTAATTTTAAAGGAAAAAGACGCATTCGGGGAAGAAGTACTTGCTTGCAATTAGCCACTCGTTGTTGGCACTAGATTAATATAAGTTCTATAACTAATATTCAAATACTAAGGGATCGCAGGTTAGTTAGCATTGGTCAAAAAATCTGAGTCACTCATGAAAACAATTGAAGAAACCGGGTGATGCTTGAAGGTGAAATGAAAATCTGGGGCGTAGTAAGTTTCTAACCAACCCGGTGAACTACCAACTGAACTACGAGACCCGACAAACGTGAATTCCTGACATGTTACTTTTGTTTGATCGTACTCACACTGGTTGCCCATAGAGGACTTCTCATCTCACTCCAAATCTACTTGAATTAGAGAGGAGGAGCATCATATTGATTATCAGTTCGACTATCTGTGATAGCTCTGGTTTGGTAGGCTTGCATGAAAGTTTAGCCCGCAGCAGGATTTCATTTTCAGATTTTCCTTTCACCTTTAATCATCACCCAGTATCAATATAGGTCTGCCAAACCACAGCTATATCATATAGTCAGACTGATAATTGAAGAAACAGCGATAAACGAATTGATGAATAGGTTAAATATAGAGAGTTGATTAGTTGTTATGATGAGAAGCAGATTATTTTTTGATTGGTTGCAAAATAAGTGATAAGAAAATGGAAGTGTTTTGTTTAGTGGCTACATATGAACAATGGCTGTATAACAACAGCGACGAAAATAAGTATTGACACCTACTAGGATGGCTATATATACACTTCGTGATCTACCAAAAGTGTATACATACTACCTGCCTCTGTAACGAGCTCCATCAGCTGAATTTGTTGGCGTACATCACTGATGACCTTGGTTCTAAAAGAGCAAAACTGTCATCCGGTGCTTAGATCACTCTGGTCTGGCTGCCAAAATCTAAAAACCAATCTGAGTGGTCTCTACCTATCCAAACTGTTCAGCAGTGTATTATGCATAAATATCACTCGCCCTTGTAACCATTTGCTGACATGCCTAATTCCGCATGGCATACAACTGCTAAACGATAAGTACAACTTCTGAAACGATGCCATAGATATATTGTAAGGAATAATTTAAAAGAATTCGTTGGTAAAATTGAAGACTTGAAGGTAAACAATATATTCATGATGTCGCATGGCATTATTATATTGATATTTACCAATGTTCCTCTACTGGAAACAGTAAACTTTAAGCATAATGAACTGACAGTATGTGATACAGAAAAAAAGGTTTTTAGCCTACACCTTAAAATAGCTTCTTGTGAGACGCGCGATGAATACATATTTCTTGTTCGAGAAAATGAATTCTACAAATAGTCTGGAGGTGTGGCAATCAAGTCACCACTTGAATCAATCTTCACACCTTTTAGCAAAACTCAACAAAGTTATAGTGTGAAAGAAATTATCACCTACCCGGGATACTATCCCCATTATAAACTCTACTTAAGAATGAGGACTTATAGCTCAGGATGAGGAGGATAACGGTTCGGCGTTATATAAGCTTTGCAGCTTATTCTTGGACCTTATATCACTTAACCAGTTCATAAAGAAGTGAAGTATTTTACAGTTGTGTAAAGGCTCATACACGATATTTGCCCTGCCATATGTCAATCTTTATACCCCACTTTTTCGTCAGGTTATACTGCCGTGAAGTGATTAAATAACCATTTGAATTTCGCTATTGACGTAATATTCGATTGCTAGTTTCACTGGTTGATTTCTAGTTTATTTATTTCTACTTGGTAGTATGTACATTGGGTTTACGCCCATGGCCGATTGTCACTTCATCGTATGTGACAAGCTTATCTCACAGCTGCTTTCCTAAAGCTAAAAAGCATAATGTTTGCCAACAGTTAACAAATACTACTTCAAAGTGTAATGCCATTGGAAAACACTCAACAATTTGAAACGTGCAGTTTATTATCTTCAATGATTTGTAAAGCTTGTTGAAGGGTGAATAAGCTCAGTAATCGCCCTAGGAAACGATAATCTGATACGACTAAACAACAATAATGGCAAAGAGAAACCTAAAGAGTACAGGTCAACGATTTGGAAAGCATATCTATCACTGAACATTGAGGACACATAAAGTGTACTTTGTGCACTACAGCCGACATGTACCGAGAGAACTTGGGTGCTGATAGACCTATGAGGGCCGTTAGCATCTCACGGACGCCGACACCATGAAGGTACCTGAAAAATAAAATGGATTAGTAAGAGTGATGTATGACCGCAGATCTCAAGCGGCATCTGCTTGAGCTTGATGACACGTAGTTTTTTGGAATTTCGAAATTCGACTGTCACTGAATTAAATCCAACTAGAAAACTAACACGCAATGCACTGGATGGTCACAGGCTAGGCAATAATGTCCCAATTTTGTAACCGACCTTGTTCTTGCAGGCAAAGCAGTATCACTGTGATAATGCAGGTCATCTGCGGGAAACACACACCCTCCCAGCCACCAGCACAACTTTGCCGCGGAATCCAATCACAGAGTAGTAATTTACACTACAACGGTAACTGCTTGTTGTTTAATCACTACCAAACAGACCTTTGTGGCATAGTAGGACCTCAAGGAACAAAGGTTCCAACCAGAGTGGCTCGTTGATTTATTGTGATATGCAACTTTGTTCACCACGTCAAGGTAGCCGCTTCCGGCTAAACTTAGTGTGTGCTGGTGAATCTGACGAGGCCTGTGTGAAACGAAACTCAACTTCTGAAACGATACAATAATTCATACCGTCCTGGAGACCTATTCATGTGATATTGCGGTCATATATTCGGCTAAATGCTGATCATCTTCGCTAAGTAAAGAACTAAAAATGATCCACAGCTCATTGTATTGCTAATCACGAAGTAAACAAGCCAATCAAACATCCACCAGCTCTCAAATAAGGCATCATTACATCATGGCCAAAGAAATGCACACATTAAGTACTAAATAATTCTCTACAAGGGAGACTCCTTACCGAGCTCGATTTCGACTAGTGAAATAACCAAAAGTGCAATACAAGTAAACAAAAAGAGAAGTCACTAACCAATTAAATCATCAATTGTAAGCATCCAGTTAGGAAGGATAACTTGAAATAACTCCCCACGATCTGTAAGCCATGCTAACAAATTATTCTGTTCAAAGGTATTCTTTGAAATGATCATCTGCGTATTGAGTAGACAATTATTAATAAGTTCCAGTATGCTAGTAAGTAATTCTGTGAGTGGATTGGCTAAAAGCAACTGAGTATTTGTAAAATACGTGCACCAGATTTCTTTTAACCATTTACAAACAATTTCTCCTTGAAATGGTTTATCAACAGAATCCCATAAAAACCAGTCAATAAACAATTTTGGATTTGGGGGAATTCTAGCTAGTTGAACTAAAAAACTAGTGATGTTTTTCACTGACTGGATCAACTTCATATTATCAAAAAAATAAGTCTGAGCAGGATCCGATAAAATATGATGATTTAGGAAATAATACGTCCTGATAAAAATTTGAAAAAAAAATACTAGGTTACAATGCTTACACAGATAGTCAATGTTAGTCAAATAAAACTTGAGACCAAGGTAGTGCTGAACCATTGTTTTACGTTCCTTACAGTGAGATAGATTATAGTGCAACGTAGTACAAAATTGCAGTGGATTAAGTCGCCGCAATTCACAATATCAAAATAATTGAAATATGTTCAAACACATACAAAGATTACTCGAGTCGAATGGAGACTGAAATGCATTCAGTAATCTTGTGCACGTTTCTGCAGTTGGCAGTGAGCCACAGCAATTGTGTGAGGGGCTAAGGATACTTACTACCTAGGTGCCCAGACATCAGTAGGTGAAAGGATGTTCAAACCGCTGATGGAGGCGAGAATAATAAGACACTTAAACTTTAGCCAGAGATAGGGAATAAAGGGATCTTATACGGTGAAATCAATTTTCAACCACGCAGCTTATACTTTTGTTAACTTCTCAAAGAAACCCAGCAGAATAGCCTATAATTCTCTAAATAAAAAGTACAGAAGAAATAATTCCGAGAATAAAATCTTTCTAGACGATAGAATTTTCTAAAACTGTACAATCGTAGTTATATATATTACAATATATACCAGGATATAGTTGCCTTATAATCTACCGGATAATGTAAATAACCAGAAAGGCAAAGAGATTGATAAGGTGGAAATTGTTGGTAGATGTAGAATACGGTATTGCAGTGTCCACTTGAAAGACGTAGAGAAGGTGAAGAAAGTAACAAAGATCATAATGAAGGTGATAATAGCAAACTAATTAATTCTAAAGAAATTACAAAAGGAAAGCAGAAAAAATTGAACAAGTTAAAACCATAGCAACATTAGAGATGGGACATATATCTTCCCTAAATATATCTTCACTGGCTCCTAGAATGCCTATCGATAATCACGAAGCCATCAAGTCCTACACACCAGTTAAATCTTAATAATTTAAAGATCCCCATAGATTATTCAGAACAAGAATAATTTGAGCGAATAATTGATTTCAATAACTTCTTCAGGCTCTAAAGCAACATTGTCTTTATCTTCTCTCTAGGTTTCGAAATGCGTTTATTGATGAAGTTTAGCAGATAGATCACACCTTTTCTGTAATATACCGTGTCCCTTGCATTCTTCCTAAAGGTGTACAACTTCGAATCTTATCTATAGCCGAAGCCATAGGAATAAACGCAAGAAAACCGGACCTATGTGTTCCAAAGAAATATCTACATCCATTTTGTTTACTTTGGGCCACAATAGGTTCGATACGTTCATTATGAACAACAAATTTCACATTTTAACCTTTCATTCATTTCTCCTATATTGTCATTACTTCAATGAACACTCATTTTCTTATTTCGTTAGTTCTACACCCTTCTTTATTCATAGCGCAACCTGCAGTCATTTTTAAGCATGACGTAATACTTCACATTTGTTATTCTTCATTTCGTTATGATATTATTATGATATCCTCCCTACTTGAATATACGTCATCACTACGTAATTATTACTTGACCCTTAGTAAACAAACACACACATCCATGCCCCAATAAATGTATATAAATGGGTCATCATCTGTAGATTTTGTCTCCTCATTTCGTAACTGTGCTGTCAATAGTGATTTCATTGCACAACCAACACATTAGACTGACAACAGTTCCACCATTCCACTCCATTTGATCTCCGTTCACCCATAATAGTGATGATCGTAAGGACAGTTACTTAACGATGACATTGGGTGACGGTTGCGCTATATCGTGAGTTGGAAATATGGACGACTGGATTCTGACCGAGTGGCTCAACAGTAATGTGCTGGCCACGGAGCCTGAAAGTTGCGGGTTCCAGCCCTGGTGGGGTCGTGGGTGCGCACTGCCGAGGAGTCCCATGCTAGGACGAAACAGCTGTCCAGGTTTCCTTTGTTCCCCCAACTGATGTCAGTCTACGATGAATAACAACTTGAAATATCTCAATATAGTTAAATCTTAAACAATTATAATCAGCAGAAAAAACGAAATTTACTTTGTGATAATTAGGACTACAGCTAGACTGGAAAGATAACTCATCAATTGTGAATCTCACTCATGCATCTACTTTTGTTTTCATTCACTGACATTGTGGTTAGGTCGTTTACGCTTTTAAGGCCTTGTACACTTTCTACATATCTTGCGATATACTTCGGATCTACCTGAATACACTTTCCAATCATCTTATTATGCCTTCTCCGTTAATTAGACGGGTGTGGAAATCACCTAGGTTGTCGAACGTTCGTGGCTATCAGTTGATATTCACACATCAGTTAGTGGCTATAACAGTGGATGTGCTCCCAAAACAATTTACCACCAACAATAAGAACTAAAATAAATTACGCTAACGTTTGAACCATCTTAATAGATTGCAACCACCAACAATCCAAGTATCGACTTACTAGCTAGGAATCTTCAGAAAAATAGTGGTTGATCTGATAATAATTGTGTCAAGATTCGATCTCATCGCGGCCTACGGAGATATTAAGTTTCCCCAGTAACCGCATCAAATATGACACTCGTGGATATTTGGAAATAACTTAGACTAGTGGTTTCAGGTAGTTAGTTAAATAAATATCTAATGTCAAGACAACCGTACTCTCCAAGAAGTTTGGAAGTACCGGATCTAACAAGTGAAGAATTCATAGTGGCTACAAAATAAAAGCCTCAGATCAAATAAAGCAATATATATTCCGGAAAAAAAGAATATATATTGCTTTGTTTGATATGGAGTTTTTATTTTGTGGACGACAACAGGAATTCCTCACTGGTTAGATCTGCCCCAGAACTAAGTATTCCATCATACTTAATGTATGTTAGTTAGTTACACAATCTATACCAACGCCTTTATAGGTAAAACAGATGTTAGTACCTGTGGCATAGTAGTTGTTTATCAAATTCTTACACTAATGAATAACAGCCCTCATTGAGTAGTTTATAGTCGGAAATGAGTGATTTGTCAATACTGAGTGCTATATGATTATTAATATAATACGACCGGTAGATAAACTGAAACTGCTACAACGTAAGGTGGCTAAATATAGCCTAAAGGGCACTTTTGAACTTATTTCAATGTTCTAAGACAAGAACATTAGTAATGAAACAATGAATTCTATGGACGTTACTGCCTTGTTTACCAATGTTCCTCTTCTGGAAACGATTGATTTTATTTGTGATTCACTGCTAGATAACAAAATGGAGGTAGGTTTATCACTTGCAAACCTAAGACAGCTGCTTCTTCATTTTACGATGAATGTACAATTTCAGTTTAAAAAGGAAATTTACCTCCAAGTAGGTATAGCAATGTGTTCACCATTAGGTCCTCCTTCTAGTCGACATGTTTATAGCAAAATTAGAAAGTGGACCACTGCGTAGCACGATAGATAAACTGCCCTTCTATTGCACATACATGGACGATACTTTCATTCTGTACAAAAATGATACTAATCCTGATATTTAACAGTGTACATACACAAATCGAGTTCATGTGAAACAGAGAAAGACGGATATCTGCCATTTCTGGATATTTTGCTATCGAGAACATATGGCAGTATCAGGCATAGTATATAAAGTAAAAAATTATGGGTCGCACATTATACACATTTCTAATCATTTGTCCTTTTTTCGTATAAAAGGAATTTAATTCCTACACCAATGTTTCGAGGCAGTAAGATTTCCACAGCTAACACTGAACGATGAAATAAGAATAATACAGAACTCCTTATAAGAGAATGGCTATCCTGAGTTCGTAGGAACTGTAACAATGAAAACAGCTGGGAAAACGTGCCTTCAGATGGTACCGAAGAAAGGATCATATCTAACTTTAGCGATCAAATGAGGTGCAGCTGCAGAAACACTGACACTCAAAAATCGAATAGAAGAAACTTTCTTTGCCACCATACTACGTTTGAAATGTGCTACTCGCTGTATGATGCCAATGCAGTTGAAGGATAGGCTATCCAATTTGACCACATTTATGTGCATTTATAAATGTAACTGCTGCTGTGGAGAAGCGCATCATCGCTTCATTGAACACTGTCCAGCGTGGTTACGCAAAGGAAAAATGAAATCCATCAAAAGCTCAATACCCGCCCTTCCAGTAGATAATGAGCATCAGATTGACAAGACCTCAGTATGTACCATTCTTTAAAAAGTGGTATCACAATCCTCCAAGTTTGTGGGCCTCAAATTACCAAGCTTACCAGAAACGATAGCAATTAAAATTTCCAAACCCAATATATGTACTTAGATGTTTGTCCCCTTCCCCTCCGATGGTCTTTAACTTCAAACCAGATACTTTTGTTACTATCGCTTTTATTGTTATCCTCTAATTCGCATACCCGAGTTCAACTAACCATATTGGTATCAAATGACCATACTGAATAATTTTTAAATGCAACTGTAAAGCTTGATGAGAATTTACCGAAAGTACATAATCGCTTCAAACTCTGTTTTCTAATTATCACAATGGGAATATTTAGATTATTTATAGTCCCCTAGCTATTGACTATTCGTGATAAAATGTATTCAGGACTTGTAGTCAATTAAATGCTAAAGAAAGAGGATGATTATGTTCACACAAAGAAACCGTATGACTTACATAAGTGAACTCAGGATAGGTAAAACTGAAGATAAGTAATTATTGAACAGTTCTTTGAAAGTAGACATGATTTCACTATCCTCTTCAAACTGCATACAATGAGTTGTAAAGTACACAGAAACCCAATTGAAATATGTTTCAAGCAGTACGGCACCAAATGGTTTAACTTGGTTAGTAAAGTTATCCCACAGTAAATGCGTATCAGTAAACACTCGACAGTCTGAATCCTATATATTTAAGAAAGAATGATTTGGTTATATAAAAGGTCTTAACGTTAACATTGATGTTTATACAGTATCTAATTGTATGAATAGGAACGTCAACCTAAAAATCCCATCATATCTACTAAATAAACTCTTATAGTAGTAGTTAGACTTCTTTATGGATTACTTATATCCTATCTAACCATTCCTATTCATACGGTTGACATTCATTACACGGTACACTTCCCCCCCTAATTTATTTAGGGTGGAAGAAAGAAATCTGAAATGAAAATGATTGGCTGGTTCCTCTGTTTAGAAGTCAATATGTTTGTGTGGCCAAGGTACTTTCCTATTGGACTAGGACACTTACTCGTAGGAATCTGATTAGTTGAGCTGAGACAAGCTATCTGTATTTAGATTAGCTTATAAAATCATTACTTGTCAGATAAATTGTTTTAAGAAATCAATCGTCTTCAGGTTAAGATCAAATCCAAAATGGATTTAAAATTTGTCGAGAATTTAATTCTGTAGCAACAATGTGTAATATTTCAGGAAGCCTGTTTCAAAATCAATTTAGTGTAATTGTTGTTATGATAATTGGAATTTCCTATTGTTATACAGGGCTGAATTGCTCGACCGATGTTGGTATATGGGCTCCTATGCGGATACCTTGATACTGCTGCTGATTCATGACCTAACGTTGATCTCAGTGACTAACAGAGGACTCCAGGACTGGTGTTTTGTTCTATTTGGTACTCGGGTTAGGGATTAAGGCTTTGCCTGTTTAAGCGATGGGTACTGAGTTTGATCCAAAGTGGGAACCACGTCACTGACTGGGGTCCTGATACATTCAGCTGACGAGTCCCGAGTAGGACGAAGCGCGAGTACTAGTATTCGCCCAGATCAATAGGTATTGAGTGTAACTTAATACTGTAAATGAGGTTTGCAGGAAAATCTAAATCTTAAATGTATGAATTGAAAGTTTGCACATAATGGTAATAATTAGAACAAAATTACTGCCCGTGATCATACCAACAATCGGAATATTTTCTTAATAATTCACGGAAATGAAAGCTTACCATTGTTGCCAAACTTTTCATTTGAAATGTACTCATAATATATTATTCCATTCGGCAATACACAATCTTTTCATCGATATATTTAAATCTTTGTAAGAATACACTGCTACATTGTATAAGGTGCATTTTACGTGTATAATCCCGGCGTAGTATATTAAAACAAATTACAAAATAAACAAATATTTTGTAATAATCCTCAACGTTTCGATCTTGCTAGGAAGATCCTTTTTAAGAGTATGAATTTGACATTGGCCAGGATTACACAAGTAAAAATACATCGTATACAATGAATCATACTAACTTGGTGCCCAAGTTTTTTCAAACCATCCAGTCCATTGTTGGTCAGGATACCTTCAATACATTGCTAGCTGTAATTTTGAGGATAATCTTGGTGAGAAACTGATTACTCTTCCTTGGTAGTTCTGACCAACATTAAGGTGGTCTTCGAAAACCGATACTGAGTAATCAAGTTCATATAGGCAAACTTTACAAAGTATCTCCATGTTTGCTTCGAAATTGCTACCATGTACTCTGCACTATGAAACTTTTCATTGAGAGTAGATTTGCTGTTCAAGTTGAAGTATGAGAGCGGGGAAACTATTTCATTTCAGTTGTGATTAAGAGACAGCATTCCTTTAATTTCCTTTGCTTCTAAGAAGTGGTCATTATCGAATAACTACAGTAAATTGGCTTATAAATACTATGTGAGTATTTAATATGCCAACAGAGACTGATCAATTCGGTCCAATCAAGCAATAACATCTCTCTATATATTTCAATATTCGGATTAGTACTTTTAACTAATATGCATCAATAATGAAGGCTACTCATGAGGATATTGCAAATAATTGAAGCAGCTTAGTAACCAAAATGTTTACGTTTTGCAGTGACGATTGATGTTAACTAAGGTGTCAACATTTAAAAAAATCAAGCCTCATTTAATTATTTAATCCCCGTGGCAAATTTGCAATAAAAGGGTTTTTTAACACAGTTGCTAAGATTTGTGAGCGTCGCCTACTACAACTGTGCTCAGAGTAATTACAATGGTACGTGACATTATCTTTCACCTGTTAAAAGAGCTTTAATGGGTATATGTGCTTCGACTTTTCAATTATTCTAACCATAGCTACAAATTAGATAGTTATCATTTTCCGTTCTACACTTTTTAACTGTCTAATATTCTGTAATGCATTCATTCAGTCGATAAGTGAAGCATTCAGGTATGAATAATCACTTCTTATTTATTTAAAAGAAAGAAAGAAGTCACTGAAATCACATTTTTAATGGCCCGGAGAAGGGCCTTTGTTCCTGCTGTAATCTTTGCAAACATAAAAAAATTCCCCTATTTTTTGTGCACACAAGCTTACCCTTTTTATCACGTTGCGAATGATGTGCACACGACACAGGAGGTGATGTGAGTGCGGAAAAACTTGGCATAATGCAGACGAAATTGCAGGACAGTCGTCTCTTATGAAAGCACCCACTCTGCAGCTTCCAATATTAATCTTAAAAAACTCAGAAATGCACCAATCAGTTCTGATGTCTCACTGATTATGAAAGTAAAAGCTATGGGAATAGCCATGAAGTTGATGTTGATGGCTACTAACTCGTGGAGAGAAAAGTTCTCATTATTAGTCTTGTAAGTGCCATCGAGACCCAGTAGATCAAGGCAGTTTTCAGTTAATTTCAGCTGATCGGCTGTGGCAAAAAAAATGATTTCAGATCTCCACCCTCTGTGACAGAGAAGGATGCGGATCCACCCTGACTGATTATATGCGCCTGCAACTTTTCATAACTGCCTACAACAACATCGTTACAAGGGAAAGTTTAATTACCGGTCAAATTACACTGAGCGAAGAAGCAATAGCGCATATTGAACACATCTTGACTATTCAATCGTTTACCATAATGTGCATAAACGAAATCAACAACATTAAATGCAGCTGTTCCGGATATCAGCAATGGCCTTATGCTCTCCAATTCAGCTCCTGTCAACTTCCGCGCCCACAAACTATTGTCATAAAGCAGTGAATTGCAGGGATGATTGTGAGTAAACAGCCAGAAACCTTATAAGAACTTCGCGAGAACGACCGACAAGAACATTTCAGGGATATTCTATGAAATAAATAATGGGAACAAACAGAACTGACCTTCATGTCACTACACCACCTACTGACCGGCGTTCACTAGCCTTAAAGCAAACAAACTTAAAGTAAGCTATTTGGTCACCCTGCAAATGTGAATCTCGCCCAATGTAGTGTGTGTACGTCTGTTTCTCATACTCCTTCAGGGAGACCTTCAAGGACTCTAAGAACGGAAATGCGGCGAGACAAAAAGGCTCCATAAAAATCGATTCGTTTCCGGTTACAACACTTTGGACGGTGTCGTCGCTCATCATGAAAACGAAGCAACCCGTCCTCAGTTTGCTCCCTTTTATAGTACTTTACGATTTTGTGCAAACAATAACATGGGACATTTCATCGTCTATTTTAATTGGACAACAAGCGACAGGGAGTGAGGGGGAAGGGGTAGAAAATAACAGTTGAAAAAAATTATTACAGTGGACCAAATGTATTTCGGATTTTTATGTCCACAGCTGAAGTATTTCGGTAGATACAGAGAAGAATGTAGTTAGATGAAATAAGATTAAATGTTCATTAAACATCAGAGTTTATTATCTTAACTATAAATTATTAATCAGGAAAATGATATGCACTCATTGAACCATTACCGAGGTCTCTAAAAAATAAATCACTTTAAAAAATTAAATTACAAATGATTAATACTACTTTGGGTAAATAAGTTTTATGATTATGCTGTCGATACTGACAGAAAAATACTTATTACACATTGAGGAAGTAGCAGTAACCTAACACGACGTAAAAAACTACAGTTACCTTAGAACACCCACAAAAACCTCAAGTTATCATGAATCAGACAAAAGGCAGTCAAAATAGGCTATTAATATAATCTTTCCCAGCTCAGATACAAACGCCAGTAGTTTACATGTAATCAACTTGGCTGGTGAACAGCAATATCAATAAATTTAGTGTACAGAATCAATTCATAAACTTGTTTACGTGCAAACATACAAATGAATACCAAAATTAGACAGTCAGTTTGAGAGAAGTATCTCATAAAAGTCCTGCATACAATTCTCATTTCATCACTCTCACTGTTAATAATTTAAGCTAAAAATGAAACATTAACTACTATGCTCTATCTCGCATTAATCTGATGCAATTTCAATACACATACCATCTAGAGTCAATTGATGCCTAAACTAAGGCGGAATGGAATGCCATCTTGTACACATCTATGCAATAGGCGATCAGTCTGAGGTCTAGTGATTCTACCTGGTTGACCAAACCTCAGTAGTACTAATCACGATTATTATGTTCGCAGGATATCGAAGGCATACAATAAATAAAAAAGAAAACATTTTGCTTCTTACCTTATTTGTGTTAGAACTATACGATACCAATAGATCTTTTATTGCTTCGCCAGTATCTACACATTGTAACCAAATATTTTTCACTGTATCATCAGCAGCAAAGGAAATTAAAGAACCAGTGGACTTCTGGCCATCACACTTCGCAGAACTGTCCACCTTCTGGGTGGAAACAAACAGTGGGACAGAGTTAACAGCAATCATATTATCCCTACTGAGCGTTAATAAACGACAAAATCGAACACTTTTATAATTTCTTTAGGCAAGAAAGCAGAACAAAAAAATATATGAGATAGTATTCATAACGAACTGATATCGGTTAGGAAACCATTGAAAACCTGGGAGCACTGGACATCTGTTTCGTCCTAGTATGGGACTACTCCTCAGCAGTACGCAAACACGACCCGGTTAGGGATCAAATCCAGGACCTTAAAAAATATATGACTCATAGGGACATCTATGGGTTTAACCGCGGTAGTAGTGATGCGCAACTAAATTACAACTTTATTATTTAAATAACAACAAAATAGGAATGTAAATTTGGTATATCCTAAGCTCCATGAACTTTTTGGAATAATTTGAAAAAACATACAGATCTGTCTAGCGAATTAAAAACATCCATACGCTGGGATTTCAGATTCTCGGAGGAATTGCTAACAGAGAATATCCTTGAAAATATCAATCATCATTTCTGATGGAAAATCCCAGTCTTTCAACCATCATTAAATGCTAAGTAACCAATCACTTAAAGATATAGCGTTTCAAATAAAACATTAGCTCTACCATGATTACAGTTGAATATTAGAGCGTGAGGATGAGACACGTGAATACAATAACTAGTCTCTGCTTAATCAAAAAATTGAAAACCAATCAAACAAATACCCAAATAAATAGTCTCTAGAGGCCTCATGCTAAGAGGATAAAGTATAGAAAGTGAAACTGAATTAACTTGCAGTGTTACTCTAAATGCGGTCTGTTTGCAGTTTGCGTTACCAATAAAATTTTGCACCAGACTTATTACATCAAATTCTTTCCTTCAAGTTTGTTTTAGTCTTTCAAATATGTCCTCCAAACCCATCACGTACTCTTGCGGATTTTTAAAATGTTCTGAACTGGCCGTTTTTCGAATTGATAACAAAACGAAGGGAAAATGTTATATTAGCCAGTAATGGACTTTTGAATGTACAACTGTACATCATACATTTATTCCACAGATACCTGTCTCGAACAGAACATTCTTCTACTGGCTTCCACTACCACCACTAAACATAGGATACTAATCCGATACTAACCAGCTGCTTAAAGTTATTGTCTTTAATTCTGTTATTATAGACATCATTCAAATGTTTGGAAATATTGTTTTGGGAGTGAATTTGTTCGAATATCACATGCTGAGAATTCGATACTGTATTAAACATGTTGTTTGGAATAAAGCCATTATTATTAACTACCATTATTATTTATTAATATTATTATCAAAACAGCATGTAGAAATAACCGGTTATCTTAACTTTAAATTCATTCTGTGGATATTTTATCTGCTTTGAAAGCCTACCATATCTACTCACATAACCACTTGAAGTTCCAAACTCTGCATAGTCAGTCACTTATAAAGCATGATTCATGAATATTGTGGGTAAAAAGTTCACTAGAGTATGGGCTGCATAGCTTAAATAACTCACATCATTCGTAGTATTATCAACTTTCTGTAATTCTTTTACACTATGGTTAAAAAGAACTAAGCATGCTTCCAGCATGCTGCAATTAATTGTTGTAGGATCCTTGTAAGAGAAAAAGTAGAAAAAATAAAAACGAGAATTCAGTAAGTTATATAAGGTTTTTAATGAAATATAACGATATAAATAAAACAAATAACTATTGTTAAGGGTTAAAAAATCCTCATTGGTGCTGCATACTTTTTTAATGTTACAATTTATACACTTAGTTCCTGTGACAAATTTGAATAAACCAAGTACAAAGACATCTGTAAAATGAAATGAGCTCACTTCATTTCATGGCCTTTCATAAACAGCCTAGAACTGAAACGAAGTACTGGTAGTAATAATGATATAACATACTTTGGGTATGTAAAAATATCTGAAGATTCCAAACCACGGTTAACAGTAGGTTAGTGAGCCAAGGCAATACAGGATTATTAAACAAAAACCTAAGATAAAATCAATGGCAACTTCTATTTGATAAGATAGAAAAGTCAGCAGCTGAGGACAGAGAGGACAACAAACAGACAAGAGTGCAAAACAACAGCTTATTACAAAGCCAGCAGGCTACAAATCATCATCAATATCAACATAGGACCAGGCGTTACTGCGTAACGGTTCGACTTGTCACACCTCATATCAGTACATCAAGCAGAAAGGCAGTGAGGTGAAAGATGAAGATAAGAAAATTCAGTCACAAGAAACATAAAGTACGAGAAGAGAGAAAGGAAGAATGACAAAATGGTGAGATTCGGTTTAGTGTCGTTAAGATGAGGATAATATGTGTATACATCTGCGCCACTGACATCGGTTCTGAACCATATCACCCAGAGTCTCCAACCACTGGTTCCTCTTGTCCCGCCGACCCCAACCACCTAGTCTGCATCGCCCCACATGGCTCAAACCAACAGTCAGAGACTTCATGCATTGGTGCCATCTTTTAGTCTGGTCACCTCGGGCCCTCTTACAGCCTGGACCTACTTCAGCCAACATTGTGTGACGAGGCAATCGACGACTAGGCATACGTAGTACGTATCCCAATCACCTCAGTCGATGAAGGTTCATAACCTCGTCAACTGATCTACCTCTTCTACCTAAAACTCTATACCTGACATCTACGTTACTCATGTGGTGACACCACGGAATACGGTCTATACTACGAAGGCAACGATGGTCAAACACCTGAACCATTCTCATGTCTTCCACCTTCAATGACCATGTTTCACAGCCATACACAGCAGAACAGACCGGACTGCTGTGCAGTACACACGACCCTTAATAGACAATCGGATATCACGGCGGCACCACATGTGGCGTAAATTGGCGAAAGCCAGTCCAGACTTCTGTATTCGTGCAGAGATTTCACCAGCCACTCAGCCAGCCACCAGGGCTGATCCTACTTCCCAGGTAAGTGAAATGGTCGACACACTCAACCACTTCACTCTCTATTGTTAGCCACGGTGGGGCACCGTTGAAGACCAATCCTGGAGCAACAAATTGCATTTGGATGGTGAGAAACGCATCCCAAACATTCTCAAATTACCACTCAAAGTGTTCAGAGGACTCTGCATCTTGTCAGCGTCTTCACTTAACAGGACTATGTCATGTCATCTCCAGATTCTAGGTCTAACGAAAATTCTCCTGCGATTAGGTCAACGTCTGTGTAACCCGGTGACGTGAGGGAGACCTCCATAAAAATATCTGTGGTGAAATTGAATAAGAATGGAGACAGTGGGCATCCTTGACGGACACCACTCGATGAGTATAGCTCCCTGGACATCTCACCATAGGCTCTAATACGCCTACAAGTGTTCGAGTAGAGAGCCTTTAATAAGGTGATGTACTGTACTGAACCAGTAGGTTACGCAACTAAATGAAAGAAATCGGAAAAAGTTAAGCTGTGATTAACAGTTAGTCAGCACTTAATAAAGAGATGATGCAAAACGTTATGTGTAGTTATAAGGGTAAAAAAAGGTTAATTACAGTCTCTTTCTGAGTACAAAGGTTAGCTTGAAAATGCTTGATGGTGAGAGGGTCGGCAAACTATAATAAACATAGTGTTCTTTGTTTGTTGTTTATCTTGAAGAATTGAGAAGCAGTTATTTGATGTCTGGTTTCTATCAGGTGCCTGATGATTGTGCTGGTAAAGACCTTGCTACTTTTCCGACATAGATTTCTCAGAACTTACTGGCAAAATCGGGTAGACGCCTTTTTTCAGTTCGTCCTATGTACTTGCTTCTACAACCACGGGTGAACTGATATACACAGTTGGAGGTGACGTGTTATTAAGCGAACTGCTGTTGTAAATTGAGATCAGTCCGGTAGCAGGGAAGCTTCTTCTCAGTGCAGTTTCTATCCTTCTGTCAACTGTTTCAGATTTCTCATCACCCCTGAATGCTAGACGAAGAAAAACAGGTTTATTCTCAAAGGTCGGGTTTTTAGGTCTCTCAACAGAACTCTTTGTGATAAATTTTCTTCGGATATCCATTCTCTTTACGAGTCTTCTCAATGATAGTGAATTTTTCTTGTTTGTGTTTTGAGCATAGCGTTCTTATTTTAGTGAAGGGTGTCCTGATTAAATCACACTTATAGTTGACAGGACAGAAAATATTGCAGTGAAAGTACTGACAAATTCACCTGTCTTTTCCTGTGGATGGTTTTCTCAACTGTACCATCAAATCTCCATTTTATGCTCAGATCCAAAAAATTTAATCCGCCCTCAATTTAGTATTCGATTGTAAAATTTATTTTTGGATGAAAGTGGTTGATGGTATGGAACAACTTTGACGCATGACTCATATCGCAAACAATGAAATTATCATCGACATATTTGTGTTAGTGTCATTTCCCCGATCGCAGAGTTCAGACTTGTTTGTTTGAGATGAGCCGTAAATACAACAACTAGGATAGATTTGTTATTTTATTACTAATAATATTTCATTCCAATTGTAGGCTGCTTGCAGTTGATGAAAGACTAAGAAATAAAATGAGCTCGTTTCATTCTACAAATGTCTTTGTTCTTGCTTTATTCAAAATACTACAATCTAGATACAACACAATACAACCTAGCGACTGTGAGATCAGTGCACTGAGTTATGTTCAACGCATGAGGATACTACCTGACAGATCGAACCTAGGAAACGCTCTATCCCAGTCAACATTTTTGACAGAGTATGAAATTTGCAGCCTGTAATACTTAAACAAATTTACTGTTCAAATAATATTTTCTAATAAAAGGAAACAGAATAATGTCTGTAAGAATGGCGCAATTAGCATTCAGACATAACGACTGGTTGTTGTTAGCTTTTTCGTCAAGTCAAAGGTACACTGGTAAAGACAGGTACATTGTTGCAGGGGTAAAAGTAGAAAAATTCGCCTAATTTTGGTGACAAACATTCGTTTAACTAGCACAAGAATCTGCAATTCCTGCTACTTATTTCAAGAATAGTCACACGACGTTATCGTGCCCTTACTGTCATTCACTATGATGTTTTTTCCTAATTTTACTGGAAACATGCAGTGTTGATACTTGGAAAACACCGTAAAACTGCACGAGAGTATATAACACAGTTTCACGACATATTTGAATCATCAAAATCACTTTAAAAAGACTAATGCAGGACATACGATAAGCACTCAGCAACCTTGTGCACACTCGTGCAGTAGGCAATGAGCCACGACTGTGGTTTGAGGGCTAGTGATACTAGCTGGCTGCCTGAATCTCAGGATGTGGAGCAGGGTTTGAACCCATGATTCAATGGTTGATAGTCATCTCCCTAAACCCCTGAGCCACAGCTCCACAAGGAGTAATGTAACGTGATATAACCTGCGGAAGGCTTTCAGTGCAAAGATATTAGAATAGATAACAGATTTATCGAAAGTCACTTGTCTAAACCAGTGAAATGCAGTTGTATAGTAGTATTCTTAAAGACGATCAACCTAATGGAATTCTTTTAAGCTATTTGTTCATAATACTCATCGATTTCCAGACACAAAAAATGAGCATTTTATACAAAAAAAAGCATACCATTTACATAAACTCTCAATTCACTGCGTTTTAGGAGTCCTCCCGAAATTAATTTACGGATAATCAACCTTTTACAGACAGTAAATATTACTAAGCTTACCACCAGCACTTATTAACTTGCTAGTCGGTGTTTAATCGCATTCATAACTTTTTCCGATAAGGCAGGTCTAACGGTAACATCACACACCCTTTAAACAAGTCATAGCATAAGTCAGAAGGTTCATTATCTCACTTATGCTGGTTGTGACCAGATATGGTAAGCGATAAGAGTGATGTTTCAAACGAACTCCCAACTACGAACTAACAAACTAAGCAGTATTATCATACCACTCATTAGTAGTACTTATTTACCTGAAGAAAATTCTGTTTGAATAAATTTTAAAATAATTTATCATGCTAAAAAGTTTTCAAAATCACCTTACTAATCCCAACGCAAACATAGACAGAATACAATTTTGAAGATTATTAATCCACGAAGGATAAACAAACTGTTCTTCTAGACCACATAACCTAAACATCTGAAACCGAAGTGGAATGCTGATAGTCATAACTACTAAACAGGTGAGCAAATGCATGATATATGAATACCTCGATATTGCCTCAAAAAATGCATATTTATGAGTGATTTTTGAATCTCAGCGACCAAATACGCAGAGTCATTGAACAGACATTGAGTAAAACCTATGGTGACGGATGTAGTACTGGCAGATTGCCCACCTTCAGGAAACAGAAAGGGTCTTGAAACTCTGAAATACACGCAGAAAACCGACTGTTTATATCAAAGAACCCCAACTCCAATTCAAGTGAATGAGAGAGTAAATAAATCAAATGTTTAGAAAGGAACATACCGAGTGGATCATTAAATCTGTACAATTTTCTGAGGGTTGGTTGTTCTTAGACTCATCTTCGATACTATAATCTAATGGTGATTGTTGAATATCAATGCTTTTATTTTTGTTATACGGCGACTTCTCAGTGAGATACAGACGCAGTTCGATAGTAACAGTTGTAATAATTAGGGCAAATGATTCACCACAATTTGATTTACTGCAAAACTCTTCCAACCATTCAAGTGACTGACAGAGGGTTGACAAAGAAGCCAAAAATTGAAGTACTATACAGAACTGTTTGTTAACACTGAAAAAGCCTGAGAAATCACAGTTGAGTAGAGACGACAGGTAATTTAGTCACATTTAATTTACTAGGTAATCAATTTCATCATACAGAATAATTATTATTGAGCAGAATATGAGTAGCAATACAGAATCACCTTAGAACATTACAGCATGCACACTAGTGTGAAAATGAAAATAAACGCACTCAGCCACCTTGTACACACTCGTGCAGTAGACAGTGACCCACACCTATTGCGTGGAGGGTGCTGATACTATTTGGCTGCCCTAACCTAGATAGGTGCAGCGGGTTTCGAACCCGTGACCACTGAGCCATGGCTCGCCAGTGTATTATTAATTTACTACGAAATGCATATTACAGTTCTTTTGTACAATGTTTTCCACGATAAAAACAAAAACAAGACTTTATCCAAGTCGTAAATCGTGAAATTCATGGTTTACTTAATTTCATTTATTCCGAAATCATAAAGTAACATAATTTAACTAACGACTTCATCCCAACCAAATTCACTTATAATTAATATCCTTGATTATATACAGGAATTCAAGACGTAAACAAATCCACATACTTTCACAACTCAATAAAAATAATACACTAAACCAAATAAATAACGAAGGCATTTGTTTCTCAGTGGATGGATATTCAATGAACAACAAAATAGCAGTTATCCAGTTAGGTCACCTTTTTAAACCACTGAGTTTTGGTATTCATCAAACTGATATAACACAACTCATTATAAAGATCTATACCTCAAGATGACAATGATGATTGACTGAAATTATTATAACTGAAAATAAAAAAAACCCATAATGATTTCTTTATGTTAGCTAATAAATACCAAGGTAAAATGATGAACTCACGTTTAGTTTTTAAACAATCAAGACAAAACAAAATTGGCTGTTTCAGCAATTCTAACACATGCTGATATTGTCGACTGATGTCAATGAGTTCATTAACTTCATCATCAAGAGTAAACGATTCCAAAGTGAATCATCCTAGGGAAACAACATTCAAAAGAAAATTTGCACTTTTCTTGCGGATCGATTTGGAAAGCAATACACTCAAAGGACAGTAGCTACTAAAAAAAACATCAAGATCGTATTCTTTAAACATTTCCAAATTATCAGGTGTAATGACTTCTACGCATAGAGGTGTATCTTACTTGCGTAATCCCGGCGTAGTGTATCAGAACAAATAAAAAAATAAACATATCAAGCAGTTGAGAGGTAAATGCATAACTGTCATCTGAAATGAGTCTCCGCAGAATAACCACTTGAAATTGTTGTTGAACTTTGCAGCCCTTAAATACATAAAATTGTATAAACCATCAACTTCTTAAGGAGTGACCAACTCCTGCTAAAGAAAGTGGATAAACTTGGAGTTCGCATACGACAAAGTCCTTTAAGGGCAGGGGCTAAAAAAAGGGAGCGTATTATAAACGCTTTGAGTAGAAATCTAAGATTGTTCAGCATGCGTTTCACACACCTATAAAATCTTAGATGATGTCGTAAGACAATTTTGCAACCACTCGTTGTTCAAGGCTACAAAGTGATGTGATAGACTGCATCAACCGCTTCACTTATTTCAGTGGTTGCAACAGCTAAACGAGTAGGTTGCCGACGGAATTTCAGCACGGATACGAAAAACCATCAATGAGACTGTCTGCCGAGGTATACAACTACTCATAAAAAGACCAGTGTACTGCACATCAGATAGCAGTCTCACGTAACACATCTGTGAGGCATGACCACTGACAGCAGAAGATATAAACAGACTACCGGCCTTCGAACACATATCTTCGTAGTATTGCGCACCTATTTTACAATTATCGCCGAGAAGCAACGCCGCGTTTCCGCAAGGAAAGCGAAATATGCGCAGATATATATTCGAAACATAGCAACCGATGTGAGCTCGAGACCTGCAGCACATACAAAGCCACCGACTGAACCTTCACGCAGAATGTCAAACAAAAAGCATTACACTGAAATAAGTTTCGAGGTGTTGAAAAGACAAGCAACACAACACCACGAATAATATAAACATCAGTGCAGAAGAGCAAACAGGCGATACCCGATAGCCACTTAACTGGACACAGCCAACGTCACCATCACGTTAAGAAAAACTGCAATTATCAACGGTTGTAAGTATGCCTGCTTTCCATACGTGGTTCCCTGTGGTTTGTTATTTTCGAGCTCCTGTTAGGAATCAGATAACTATGGACGCAAGAAACTTGGACACTATATTAGTAAAACTGATTCCCCAATGTTTGTCACAGGAAGACTTCTTTACCTGCTTATAGACTGAAATGATGAGTGAGGTAGACCAGTCTGACGGATCACAGGTTCGAAAACAGCTAGACCTATCAAGGTTTGGGTAACCAAGTAATATTATTAGCGCTCACACAATAGGTGTGGCTCACTGCCTAATCCACGAATGTCCAAAAGGATGCTGAGTGTATTTCAATTTTTCCGACGGCACTACCTCTGATTCTCAACCACTATTTACTACCTCCGTTACTCTGCTCAGTAATTTCCATCCTCCTACCTTAAAAACGTCTGGTGGCAAAGCATCAGGTTATGCTGCTGCAGCTTTGTATCGTTCCAGGTTTGAAACGGCTTTCTCAACTTGAACGAGAGTTGGGTAACCAGCATCTACTTCCCATTCAGGTTAGGGATGGCTAGTGGTTGGTCATCATCATCATCATCATCATCATCATCATCATCATTATCAACATAGGACCAGGCATTACTGCGTAACGGTCCGAGTTGCCACACCTCATATCAGCACATCAAGTAAAAAGGTAGTGAGGTGAAGGATGAAGATAAGTGAATGCAGTCAAAAGAAATATAAAGTACGAGAAGAAAGGAAAGAGGAGTGACAAAATAGTGAGATTCGGTATAGCGTTGTTAAGATGAGGATAATGTGTGTATACATCTGCGCCACTGACTTCGGTTCTGAGCCATATCACCTAGGGTCTCCAACCACTGGTTCCTCTTGTCCCGTGGACCCCAACCACCTAGTCTGCATCGTCCTACATGGCTTAAACCAACAGTCAGAGACTTCATACATTGGTGCCATGTTTTAGTCTGGCCACCTCGGGCCTTTTTCCAGCCTGAACCCACCTCAGCCAACATTGTGTGACGAGGCAATCGGTGACTAGGCATACGTAGTACGTGTCCCAACCATCTCAGTCGATGAAGGTTCACAACCTCGTCGACTGACTTACCTCTTCTCCCTAAAACTCTACACCTAACTTCTGCATTACTCACATGGTGACACCACGGAATACGTCCTATACTACGAAGGCAACGGTGGTCAAATACCTGTAACCTTCTCATGTCTTCCACTTTCAATGGCCATGTTTCACAGCCATACAGTAGAACAGAGCGGACTGCTGTGCAGTACACGCGACCCTTAATAGACAAACGAATATCACGGCGGCGCCATAGGTGGCGCAAATTGGCAAAAGCCAATCGAGCCTTTTGTATCCGTGCAGAAATCTCATCGGCAACTAACCCACCGGAGTTGATCCTACTTCCCAGGTAAGTGAAGTGGTCAACACACTCAACCACTTCACTCTCTATTGTTAACCGCGGTACCGCTGAAGACCAGTCCTGGAGCAAAAATTTGCATTTGGGTGGTGAAAATCGCATCCCAAACATTCTCAAATTCCCACTCAAAGTGTTCAGAAGACTCTGCATCTTGTCAGCGTCTTCACCTAACAGGACTATGTCATCTGCATATTCTAGATCTAAGGAAAATTCACCTGTGGTCCGGTCAACGTCTTTGTAATTAGGTGACGAGAGGGAAACCTCCATAAGAATATCTATGATAAAATTAAATAAGAATGGGGATAGTGGGCATCCTTGACGGACACCACTTGATGAGTATAGCTCCCTGGACAACTCACCATAGGCTCTAACATGCCCACAAGTGTTCGAGTAGAGAGCTTTCAATAAGGTGATGTACTTACTAGGCACGCCTTTCAGTGACAGACACTGCCATAAGACTTCTCGATCAACGGAGTCAAATGCCGCCTTCAGGTCGAGAAATACAGCTATTGTCGGGCGTCTGTAAGCATGCCTATGTTCCAGGACCTGGCGCAGTGTGAATATTTGGTCGATACATCCACGGCCAGGTCTAAAGCCTGCCTGGTTTTCTCGGGCTTGCTGTTCCCGAGCTCCACTCAGGCGTCGGAGAATTATAGAACTTAGGATCTTAGACACTATGTTTGTCAGGCTGATTCCTCTGTGGTTATCACAAGAGGACTTCTCGCCTTTCTTGAAGACTGGGATGATCAGTGACTTAGACCAGTCGGAGGGGATCGTATTTGATTCCCATATACTGGCTAACACTTCCGTTAGCCTGACTAAGAGAACTCTACCACCATTCTTGTATACCTCAGCAGGTAGTCCGTCTGGTCCTGCTGCCCTTCCCCGTTTCAGGCTACCTACCGCTTTCTCAACTTCTTCTAGTGTTGGGGGACCTGTCTCTATGTCCCATTCAGGGTCCGACTGGATAGCGGGCAGCGCAATGGTGGCTGGAGGCCAGTTAAACTGTTCCTCAAAGTGTTCTGCCCATCGTCCCAGTCGCCTTCCCTGCGAGTGAATCGCCGATCCGTCCTTCTCCGCTATAACCTCACTAACTGTTGTTGACCATTTCCCCCCAGTCTCCTTAATAAGTCTAAATAACTGTCTACTGTTACCGATCGCCGCTGCCTTTTCCATCTCTTTAGCCTTTGCTGCCCACCACTGTTCACGATCGTTGCGCAGACTTTTCGTCAGTTTATTTTTAAGTTGCGCTCGCTCTTCATTGTACTCAGAGCCTGCAGGGATGCATTCACGTGCATCCATTAGTTTGGAAGAAGCTGCTGATATCCACTGGCTCTTTTTAGCCATTATCTTGGAGTCGGCTACAGTCTCCAGTGCTGCTTTTACAGTAGACTGAAGATGGCACCAAGCTTCTTCTGGATGAGTGACAGTCTTTTGTTCCGATAACTGCCTAGCCAACACGGCTTTGGTGTTTTCGTTGTCCAGCAGAACTCGTAGTGGTTTTGTTGCCAAATTTTTTCTACGTCCATTGAGACGCAGGCATATACGTGCTCGGACCAACGCATGATCGCTGTCCAAACACGTACTCCAGAAGGAGCGGCAGTCTTCCACCGATCCTCTCCAGCGATGACTAATAGCAATGTGGTCTATCTGTGTCCATCGCTGAGTCGAGCTCGGTGGACGCCAGGTCAGACAGTGCCTTTCTTTATGTCTGAAATTTGTGCTGGCTAAAAATAGGCGGTTATCTGAGCATAGTTGTAATAGGCGATCACCGTTATCTGTACGTTCAGCTGGGATTCCGAAAGTGCCACCTAAGTGCCTTTCTGCCTCACTCAGTCTACCCACCTGTGCGTTGAGGTCACCTGCAACAACCACTACGTCCGAACGTTTGGCTTTCGAGAGGAGGTTAGACAGTTTATGGTAGAACTCGTCCTTCACTTCATCCGAACTACAGTCAGTGGGTGCGTAAGCAGAGATTACAAAGAGACAACGGCGAGTCTCACTATTCCTTTTAGTTCTCACTGTGCCGTTCAGCCTCATAGCGCAGAGGCGACTATCAACTGGGATCCAGTCTAGTAGTGAGTTTTCTGCCCTGGTGCTTAATGCTATACCTACACCTGCAAGACCACGAGAGCTAGCTATCGAATCTCCAGAAACTCGAAGGGTGAATTTTGCAGATTCACCAGATTGGTCAGGAGAGGTCAGGTGAATAACCACACTTGGGTCCTGTATGCGTGTCTCACAAACACAGCACACATCCATGCCTCGAGTTGCTAGAGTCTTTGCCAACGAAGCCTGTTGGCCAATTTGACGGAGGGTGCGGACATTGAAGGCTCCAATATGTAATTTGGAGCGTGGTTTAAGGAGACCAGGGACACTGTTCTGTGGACTCAGATCGTTGTCGAAGGCTGCAGAGGTAGGAGAAATTGAAGATGATGCAGCATCATTAATTAAGAGACGTGAAGGAAGATTAGAAGGTAATGATGGAGGAGGAGGATAGCAGTCAGAAGAAACTTGGGTGCTGACAGAGTTGTGAGGGCGGTTGACACTTCCCGGCTGCCCACACCGTGGAAGGCTATTTCTTCTTAAGGTACCTGAAAGAGATTTGTGTGACCGCAGAGCCCATCGGACATCTGCTTGAGGCCTGTCACACCCAGCCTTTTGAGTATGATTATTTTGAATTTTTGTATTTTTGGGGCCGGATGAGCGAAAGGAAACGACAAGTGAACCAACACCGCCGGCCCGGCAGACCGTGGGGCGTGGTGGAGTGTGTTATTTTTGGGGCCGACCTTTTCTAACCCCCCCTTCCACTGAGAAGGCAGCATCAGCTTGGCACTGCTGGTCATCCAAGGGAAACACCTTACTGCTGTCACACCCCATCCAGCTAGCAGCAGTACGACTTCGCCCTCAGACCCCCATCATAGTATAGCAATTTACACTATGACGGTAACTGCTTTTCGTCTAACCACTACCCAACAGACCTTTCTGGTATGGTAGGACCTCGAGGGAACAAGCGTTCCACCAGCATAGCTCGTTGGGTCATTGTGATATGCAAGCCCGACCACCACGTCAAGGTAGCAGCTATCGGTCGGGAGTGCTTGGTCAACAGAAGCGTTGCTGTGGGATCAGTTGAACTTCACTTCAAAGTGTTGCACCAGACGTTCTAGCAGTCTGTCCCGATAGGTTATCAGCGTCCCAGCCTTTTCGGTTATCATATCATCTTCTTCTTGCCTGTACCGCTAATAAGTGTAATTTTCCGGATAGTACCCAAAACTGATGCCTTCTTCAGTTCCCTTGCTTTTGCCAAGCACCACTGCTCGCGATCATTGTGATCATCAACATCATCAATATCAACATAGGACCAGGCGTTACTGCGTAACGGTTCGACTTGTCACACCTCATATCAGTACATCAAGCAGAAAGGCAGTGAGGTGAAAGATGAAGATAAGAAAATTCAGTCACAAGAAACATAAAGTACGAGAAGAGAGAAAGGAAGAATGACAAAATGGTGAGATTCGGTTTAGTGTCGTTAAGATGAGGATAATATGTGTATACATCTGCGCCACTGACATCGGTTCTGAACCATATCACCCAGAGTCTCCAACCACTGGTTCCTCTTGTCCCGCCGACCCCAACCACCTAGTCTGCATCGCCCCACATGGCTCAAACCAACAGTCAGAGACTTCATGCATTGGTGCCATCTTTTAGTCTGGTCACCTCGGCCCTCTTACAGCCTGGACCTACTTCAGCCAACATTGTGTGACGAGGCAATCGACGACTAGGCATACGTAGTACGTATCCCAATCACCTCAGTCGATGAAGGTTCATAACCTCGTCAACTGATCTACCTCTTCTACCTAAAACTCTATACCTGACATCTACGTTACTCATGTGGTGACACCACGGAATACGGTCTATACTACGAAGGCAACGATGGTCAAACACCTGAACCATTCTCATGTCTTCCACCTTCAATGACCATGTTTCACAGCCATACACAGCAGAACAGACCGGACTGCTGTGCAGTACACACGACCTTAATAGACAATCGGATATCACGGCGGCACCACATGTGGCGTAAATTGGCGAAAGCCAGTCCAGACTTCTGTATTCGTGCAGAGATTTCATCAGCCACTCAGCCAGCCACCAGGGCTGATCCTACTTCCCAGGTAAGTGAAATGGTCGACACACTCAACCACTTCACTCTCTATTGTTAGCCACGGTGGGGCACCGTTGAAGACCAATCCTGGAGCAACAAATTGCATTTGGATGGTGAGAAACGCATCCCAAACATTCTCAAATTACCACTCAAAGTGTTCAGAGGACTCTGCATCTTGTCAGCGTCTTCACTTAACAGGACTATGTAATGTCATCTCCAGATTCTAGGTCTAACGAAAATTCTCCTGCGATTAGGTCAACGTCTGTGTAACCCGGTGACGTGAGGGAGACCTCCATAAAAATATCTGTGGTGAAATTGAATAAGAATGGAGACAGTGGGCATCCTTGACGGACACCACTCGATGAGTATAGCTCCCTGGACATCTCACCATAGGCTCTAATACGCCCACAAGTGCTCGAGTAGAGAGCCTTCAATAAGGTGGTGTACTTACTTGGCACGCCTTTCAGTGAGACTTGGTCAATTCGCGTTTGAGCTGCTTTCGCTCCTCATTGTAGTCACAGCTAATCACAATGAGCCTTCTCACATCAGTCAGTTCGAATCAGGTTGCTGAAATCCAATGACTTTGTTAACCATCTTGGATGTATCTTTCCAACTTTCTGTTTCTAAGCAAACTGAACGTTACGCTAGACTTCATCACGATGGAAACTGCTGTCATGCTCAGATAGATGCTTAGCTACCTCCTCCTTAGATGTTTACTTCACCTCCTCATCTTCCAATCCAGCATGCACAAGCTCAGCTGCCGTCCGTTTTCTGAGACCAGTAAGTTTCAGGCATACACGACCTCGAACTAACGCGGGATCGGAGTACGAGAAGGGACTCCGGAAAAAGTGGCAATCCTCCACCAATCGTCTCCAACGATGGCCTGTAGCAATATGATCTATCTGTGTCAATCGTCAGGCTGATGCCACCGGACGCCATGTGAGACGTTGTCTCTCCTTATGCTTGAAGTTGGTGTTGGGCAGAAACAAGTGGTTTTCAGAACAGAATCGCAACAGATGATCACTGTTGTCGGTTCATTGCCACAGAATTGTGTAGATGCCTCCAAAAGCCTTTCCGAATGGCCCAGCTCTCCTACTTAAGTGTTAAAGTTGCCTGCTATTATGACTGCATGTGAATGTTTTTGCTTTCTGTAACGACATTGATAACTTTTGAACGAATTCCTTCTTTGCATCACGCGAACTGTAGTTAGTGGGGATGTAGGTGGAGATTATGAATAGGCATCGGTAAGTCTCACGATCCTTCCTAGTTTTTACAGACCCATTCTGCTACACTGCACACAGATGGATGTTGGCCGGTATCCATTCGAGAAGTGTGCCTTCTGCTCGAGAACTTAATGAAATGCCTACACCTCGAGTCCATGAGAGTTAACCATTAATCTTTCGGCACTCTTGAAGTGAATTTTGCAAACTCACCAATTAGCCAGATGATGGTAACTGAATAATCACACTCGGATCCCGCTTGCGTGTCTCTAAAAGACATAGCTTTAGATTCCAGAATTCTTGCGAGGGATTCATGTTGTCGAATTTTTCAAAGGGTTTAGATGCTGACGCCTCCAATGTGAAATCAACAGGAAAGTTTTAGGTAACTAGGAACGGTGTTTCACCGGCTTCAATCGTTGACAATGGTCGCAGAGTAAGAGGTTGAGGAAGTTGGTCTGATATTGATATTAGAAAGTGAAGTTAAAGGAGAAGACAAAAATAAGTTAAGTCAACTATGTTTGGTTGGTTCAGAAGCGTGCGAGTGATTGCTACTTCCGGCTGCCAACATCTAGAAGTTGTTTTTGCGAGATACCTGAAAAAGAAGAGGGAAACGAGTTGTAACCACTGAACTCATAGGACATCTTGATGCCCGTCACACAAAGTCTTTTGAGGGTTGCCGGTTTGAGATTTGGTTCCTTTAGTATCTATGACCCCGGCACCGGAATACCATAAGGGCAGGGAAGAGGGTGCTATTCTTAAAGTCAACCATTACAAAGCCCCTTCTCATAGGTGTATGTCTGTGAAACATGGCGACTAGAGGTGGAGGACATGATGGAAGGCCTGAAGTGTTAGACCATGGTTGTCTGTGTAGCATAGGCCACATATAGTGGTGTCAGCTGGTCATTCAGAGAGAAGTCAGATGAAGAGCTTTAGGTAGAGGGAGGCCAGTTGACGAGTTTGTGAAACCGTCGTCGACTGAGTTGTGTGGGCTATGTGTCGCGCATATCAATTCATCATGTGTCTGGTTGCACAATGTTAGCTGAAGTGAGGCAAAGAAAGTGTTTGCGGTGGTCAAGGTTTCAACATGGGATCAGTCGATGAGGCATTTGACTGTTGATTTGAGCGGTTGAGGGGAATGCAGACTTCCGTGTTGGGGTCCGCTTGACAACGGAAACCAGTGGTTGGAGACTATCCGTGATATGACTGAGAATAAATCTCAATGGCACCTATTTATCTACATACCACCTTCGTCTCAGTCATCATACTGAACTTCAGTATTCTGTCGTTCCTCATCGTTTTCTCTAGACGAGTTTGTACCACTTTTGACTGCTGTCTTGTTTATTTTTTTAAATCTTTGATGCATCTTTGGTGCATTGTCGCTTGGTTCGCTGATATGAGGTGTCGCAACCTGGACCTTTACGCACCAAGCCCAGGTACCTCATTGACTTTTACTTTCTGTCTTCTGGTATGGTAGGACCTCAAAAAACAAGCATTCCAACCTGTGTAGGTAGCTGGATTATTATGGTAAGCAAGCTTGACTACCACGTGAAATCTCATTTTATTAGATTGCATTATTAAAACGATCGCGGAGTAACCAAGTGAGATTTCCTCTTTCGAAGTTTTCTTCACCACTTACGGAATGAAAGAACGGTAATTTAGTGTGTAAAATCCTAAGAGTAGATACTTTCTGAATTTCCCTCCTCTAACCGCTAAGCAATACAGTTTGGAATCTTAAATATCCAAAGAAAACACTACCACACCAGCCTAATACAGTAATCAATACAAACGTCTTCAGACCTCTTATCTAAGAGAAGTCAATAACTCTAATCTAGCAGATTTCCCCAAACCCCGCCTATCCCCCCCCCTCCAGTCGAATACAATTTAAACTCATTATCTATATAAAATCATGCAGAATAGACGATTAAGGTCACTAGATTATAAGCTGGTACTCGAGAAAGTATGCCGTAACGCATCAAAGTAAAATCCACATTACAGTGTAATTCATGTTTATCGGAGATAACTTACCTTACATGACGAATCAAAGTTCTTGCAACAAATAATTAAGCTCTTCAGCATAGAATCATTCAAGTCGATGTTGTGTTTTATACCATACTGCAAAAGTGTATGTAAAAACAATAAGCAATCTGTGTCGACTGGACGAAATAGTATGAAATAATAAATTGAAGAACATACGCATATATGATTCACATGCCTTCTCAACTGAAATAACCAAGACTGACGGAAGTTTACAAGAAAAATCGACAAAAGAATTGAATTCTAAAATTTGACTTAATATAGTGAAAACCAACGCTGATATGGATTTCTGCTCGGATGAACTAAATTAAAATGATGAGAAACCAGTGACTACGAAAGAAACTTACCTTAGAAATACTGAGTTCCATAGACTAGGAAATAGCAACTCAAAGCCTTTTAATCCAATCTAGAATAGAGAAATAAACACTTTATTAAGACACAACTTACGAGTGATGGGTCGAAAGCCATACTCGCAATACTCTCAATTAATAATATTCGAAGATCACTTGGTAGACTGTCGTCATCTGTGATTGAAAAAAGAAGCAAATGATATTACTGGTATTTGCCGCATAAAGGCGAAAAATAGAAAACCACACATCGACTGCGCAAGCATGTGCATATGAATAAACATTTCACTCTGGATAACCTAACACCATACATTGTATTCTGACATTCACAAAACTTTATTCCCAATAAAATTCTTTCGATAAACAACTCGTTTCACCAAAATCCATTTCGCTTACATTTACAGTTATCACTTACTAGCTTACACCAGAACCCCAACCGATAGATGCTACCATGATGCGGTGGTCAGACTTACGTACCAGAATGATACAACGCGTTATGCTAACAGAACGCTTTTTCACTGGAGTCTCTACCATAGTAGAAAGGTCAGATGGATAGTATTAAAACAAAAAGAAGTTACCGCTATGCTATGAACTGCTACACTATTATGGAAGTCCGAATGCGAAGTCTTACAGCTATCTGGATCAGCTGTGACGGCAGTAACGTGTCACCCACGGAAGATCAGCAGTAATAGGTTAATTCTGCCCTCTCTATAGGGAAAGCCGTGACGAGAAAACGTTGGCACCAAAAACTGTACAAACTGGATCCGGGTGTGATTATTCAGTTACCATCATCTGGCTAATTTGGTGAGTTTGCAAAATTCACTTCAAGAGTGCCGAAAGATCAAATGGTTAACTCTCATGGACTCGAGGGTGTAGGCATTTCATTAAGTTCTCGAGCAGAAGGCACACTTCTCGAATGGATACCGGCCAACATCCATCTGTGTGCAGTGTAGCAGAATGGGTCTGTAAAAACTAGAAGGATCGTGAGACTTACCGATGCCTATTCATAATCTCCACCTACATCCCCACTAACTACAGTTCGCGTGATGCAAAGAAGGAATTCGTTCAAAAGTTATCAATGTCGTTACAGAAAGCAAAAACATTCACATGCAGTCATAATACCAGGCAACTTTAACACTTAAGTAGGAGAGCTGGGCCATTCGGAAAGGCTTTTGGAGGCATCTACACAATTCTGTGGCAATGAACGACAACAGTGATCATCGTGTTGCGATTCTGTTCTGAAAACCACTTGTTTCTGCCCAACACCAACTTCAAGCATAAGGAGAGACAACGTCTCACATGGCGTCCGGTGGCATCAGCCTGACGATTGACACAGATAGATCATTTGCTACAGGCCATCGTTGGAGACGATTGGTGGAGGATTGCCACTTTTTCCGGAGTCCCTTCTCGTACTCCGATCCCGCGTTAGTCGAGGTCGTGTATGCCTGAAACTTACTGGTCTCAGAAAACGGACGGCAGCTGAGCTTGTGCATGCTGGATTGAGATGAGGAGGTGAAGTAAACATCTAAGGAGGAGGTAGAATAAGATCAATAATCTAGAAAAAACACAACGACACAATAGGCTGGGTGAGATAAAACTACTGTACTCAAGTTCAATATAATTAGGTCCATCCATCCAAATCAATGCAGAACCAGGCATTACTGTGTAACGGTGTGAGTTGCCACAAATATGTAATTAGGTGGAGAGATTGATTACTGAATTGTTGTTCATCGAATCAACACTCAACACATGTAATGGGAATGACGAAACACCTATACCAGAGATAAGAGTAATTTTACTACCAATAAAAAACAAACTTATATAAAGTGACGTAACTATAAAAATCAAATGCCAAAAGTAGTATGATTACATTGATATGAATATGAGGAATAATTTATGCTTGAAACGTCATCAAGTAAATAATAGTGTATCACTGTGTATTATAAATAAAATAAACACATATAATGTGGATGATATGATGGATCATTAACATAATTAGAACGCTGGCAATATCGAGGCATCCGCACAGGAGCCCATATGCTAATAGAGACTGATCAATTCGGTCCAATCAACGACGGTATCATATAAAAACAATTATACTAATATAGAAGATAAATGGACTATTTTTTTAGTGATTAGTCATAAACAGTGAGTAAAAACAAGAATACAAGGAATAATAATAAAGAAGGGTGTAAGGTGGGTGCAAATTAGTAGTATGGTTTATTGAGAACAGTTATTAGGTCATGGTATTAAATTTTTGCAAAGATTTCATAAAGAGTAATTAATGCGAACAAACTAACGTTTCCCTACTAGACGAGCATGATATGTTGCATGGTTAACTAGTTTAGCATAATAGAATATAGCCTCTGCAAAGAAGTTAATTGGGAAGAAATATTTCTTTAGAGGTAGTGTCTATCACAGACTGACATCATTTAGAGAATCAGTGAGAACCTTGGAGCACTATATGTCTGTTTCTTCCTAGAACGTAACTCCTCACCAGTGCTTCCTCATGAACTCGCCGAGGATCAGTGGTTCTCCAGTTGATGTTAGTCAACGATGAATATCAACATGGAATCCATATAATCCCCACAAACCTCGAACTAAATTACTATCTAGCACTAAGGAGTAACATGCTTGGAGCTGGATGTATAGAAGTTCTAGTGTTAAGTCATAACTTTTGGGGCAAACCAAGTCAGACGTGAAGTGGATGCCGATTGAAGACCTTAGATAATAATCACGCTGTATTAGGGAATAACGGAAGTATGAAAGTGTGGACCACTGAACTCCGACTGAATCGCTGAATGGTCATCGCGAGACCTGAAAGCCCTGAGTTCGATCAGTGGAGAAGTTGTAGGGATGCGTGTTACAATTCCGTAACGTTTGATCAACCCTACTTAATTTGATGTGCTCTAGTACCTGCTTAACCAGTACTTTACCTAACGTGTAAGTACTGGTAACAAAACACAAATCAAAAGAACTGATACGCAATGTATTTAAAGGAGCTATGTATTTAAGGTAAATGTTATAATAATGAATGAGGGAAAAGTTTAATCAACTTATCTGGCTTGTAAGGCTGAACTAGGGACTCGGAGTACGTGCGTGGTGATCAGCACAATGGAGCGCAAAAATGGCGTCCAAGCCTGCTCGGATGCATGCTCGTTAAAACAAAACTTAAAACACCCTAAGCATCCGGAGGCAAGCTAGAGATTTATTTAGTTAATTTAATTTAAACTATTTATTTTAGCCCTAGTTATATTTTGGTGCCAGGAAGGTGCACTACAGGTTATCCCCCTCCTAGAAGGTTGTTGGGATACCGGCAACCTTCGATCCTAGGAGGCGACTGCGAGGCGGACACGCAACACCTTTCCATATTGGTGATGGAGTAGGTGACGTGTGGGTCTCCGAAGCTAGTGCAACTATGCACACCTACGAGGTAAGATAACTTTGCGTCTAGACGCAACCCTTCTCGCAGTGGTGGAAGGTGACCCAAAGCCTCCGTCTACTTTTCCCTATTGCTTCTTAATCTACCGGGGAGTGTACAGGGGGAAATTGGTACAAAGAGAACCGAAGAACGATCCAAGTAGCATCGTCAGCGGCCAATTGTATCCAATTTTCAACGCATTTTCTAGGTTCTGCAAGAAGAAAGAAATGGGACATTAGAGTGCTAATTCAATTCAAAAAAAAAAAAAAGAAGTGGGAGTACAGAAAAAAAAAAATAACCAACCAAAAAAAGTTTTCGGAATTTAAATTGTATTTTTGGTTTTTCTTTTTTTTTTTTTGAAAAAAAAACTGTTTGCAAAGTAGTAAACATGACTTTTGAAAACTTTAGGTATGAAAACGCATTGAAAGTGTATGCCACGACCAAGTAGTTGAAACTCCGAATTCACCAAGTGTGAAGTTGCTCTGGGGCTAATTAACGAACTCGGCGTATCGCTTGGGCCAATGTACACGCCTCCCAGCACGTGTAGAGGTTACTGGATCAGTGTTACTAGACGTGGCTCTTTTAGAAGGTTCAGGATACGCGCGACTAAACGAGTCTGTTTGGGAGTCCGGCGGCAAGGGTCTGGGTGTGCCTGTGGAGGTGTCGCACAATATTGACACTTCACTGTTCAGGAGCGGTAACGCTGTATCTTCAGAGAGGATGAGTGTTGAAGTTTTCCAATCTCCTCGTCTGAATCCTGAAGTTCGGCAATCTTCCGTAAGTCGACTGCTCGAGGCAAAGTAGTGGTGCAAACGCGAGACAGTGCGTCCGCGACAGGGTTATTCACACCAGAAATATGACGGATGTCCGACGTGAATTGCGAAATATAATCTAGGTGACGTAATTCACGCGGTGAATATCTGTCAGTAGTGGTGTGTAAGGCATACGTCAGAGGTTTATGGTCGGTAAAGATGATGAAGTCACGACCTTCCACAAAATGACGAAAATGTTTCACTGAGGCATATATGGCGAGCAGTTCCCTGCCGAAAGTGCTGTACCGCATTTCGCAGGTGGATAACTTCCGAGAGAAGAATGCAACTGGGATCCAAGTGTGATCCGAAAGTTGTTGCAACACAGCTCCAATGGCCGTGTTAGAGGCGTCAACCGCAATGCTAAGAGGTAGGTTTACGTCTTGATGCACCAGCATCGTGGCGTCTGCTATTGCGGTTTTGATCTTGCGAAATGCTTCTAGTGCCTCCGGAGTCAAGCTGAAAGTTTTACATTTACTTTTCAGCAGGTCGGTCAGTGCAGTCAAAATGTGTGCACATTGGGGAATGAAGCGACGATAATAGCTCACCATACCCAGAAACACACGCAGAGCTTTAAGTGACGCTGGGACCGGGAAGTCTTGGATCGCCTGTACCTTTTCAGGTAGTGGGCGAATGCCTTGCTCGTCGATAACGTGTCCCAAAAATTTTAGTGAACGAACGCCAATTTGGCATTTGGCCAGGTTGACTGTCATCGAATGCTCTGACAGTCTGGCGAAAACCTGTTTCAAGTGGTTAATATGAGTGTCTTCGTCTGGACTAGCGATTAGTATATCGTCTAGGTAGGCATAGGCGAAATCGAGTCCACGTAAAACATCGTGAATAAAACGTTGGAAGGTTTGTGCTGCATTGCGAAGACCAAAAGGCATACGG